ATGGATACCAAAATCTGTGAACACAAAGCCAAGCTTTGGAACATTCTTGGACTCGGCAGTCACTCTTCCCCATCGAAGTGAAGGGGCTGAACCGTGTCACCACCACCTTGGAAAAATAGGACAGGCGACACCTTCTGACTCTCGCCTCCCTTCCCCAGCTCTATTTTAGAAACTAATTAGGTGACGCATGGCGGGCTTTAATTGGGTCGTCGCGACCGGAGGACTGGAGGTGAAGTCGCACAGGGAACCCCCAAAATGGAAACAGGTTGATGAGGGTCTAAAGCAGGCATGGCCCAACTTGGGCCCTCCAGGTGTTTTGGACTACAACTCCCACAATTCCTAACAGCCTAGTAGCTGTTACGAATTGTGGGAGTTGAAGTCCAAAACATCTGGAGGGCCAAAGTTGGCCCATACGTGGTCTAAAGGGTTGATGTGATGCAGACACTGCAAAGGCCAATTGCGAACTGATCAAATTATTGGGCTGAATTGAGGGGCGTCATACAAAATGCATAAGGTTGTGGGTGAACTACAACTCACATGCCAGGTTAACCCTCTGAAACTCCATTGGTGCTTAAAGGCATTCAGCAAGTGGCACAGTGGGTTAAACCCCTGTGCTGGCAGGACTGAAGACCGACAGGTCGCAGGTTCGAATCCGGGGAGAGGCGGATGAGCTCCCTCTATCAACTCCAGCTCCTCATGCGGGGACATGAGAGAAGCCTCCCACAAGGATGATAAAAACATCAAATCATCCGGGCGTCCCCTGGGCAACGTCCTTGCAGACGGCCAGTTCTCTCACACCAGAAGCGACTTGCAGTTTCTCAGGTCACTTCTAACACGACAAAAAAAAAATGCGGGCAAGTTTGCTCTAGGTGCATCATTGGTGGGGTTCAGTGTGTTCTCTGGCTGTAGGATAAACCACAACTCCCATTATGGTTAGTCAGTCCCCTCAAACCCCTCCAGTATGTTCAGTTGGTCCTGGGGGTTCTGTATGCCAGATTTGATTCAGGTCCATCATTGGTGGGGGTCATAGTTTCTCTGGTTATAGGTGAACTACAACCCCCAAAACTGAAGGTCAATCTCTCCCAAATCCCTCCAGTAACCAAATTTGCGCATATCAGGTATGCATGCCAAGTTTGGTCCAGATAAATAGGCTTTTGGGTTCACAGTGCTGTCTGGATGGGAGTGAACTACAACTCTTATAAATCCACCTAAAGACAAACAGTATTTTTTTTTTGTTTCTGTGTGCCAAGTTAGTTGCATATTCATTGTTTGTGGAGTTCTAAGTGCTCTTTGATTACAGATGAACTATAAATCCCAGTACCTACAACTCCTATAAATCAAGATAAATTCTTTCCAAACCTCTCCAGTATTTTTCTTATGTCATGGGGGTTCTGTGTGGCAAATGTGGTCCAGGTCTATTGTCATTGGAGGTCACCGCACTCTGTCTTGATGCAGGGTGAACTTCAACTTCCATCATGTTGGGTCAGGCTCCCAAACCCCTCCAGTATGAGCAATTGCTGATCAATTCCTCTATGTTTGCTGTGTGCCATAGGAAAGAGCAGTAAAGGAGTATGGGAGATGCAGGGGGCAGGGTCATGCAAATTCCACACCAATGGAGAGAGAACGAAACACTGGGATGCCTGTGGTGGAGGAAACACATAACATTTGGATGACATTGTCCCCTATGAAAGCCTTCACTTAGGTGGTGGGCAGTCTTGTTTGTGGGGGACATTGGACATGTTCATGGTGTTCACTATAACCTGCAATGAACATGGGAGTCTTTGGTGTCTCCTGAACAGTGGGAGCTATAGCTTTTTGTGGAGGCAGGAGCTTGTCAGTGTTTCTCAACCTTCCAAATGCCTCGACCCCTTAATACAGTTCCTCACGTTGTGGCGACCCCGAACCATAAAAATATTTTCGTTGCTACTTCATAACTGTAATTTTGCTACTGTTATGAATCGTAATGTAAGTATCTGATATGCAGGATGTATTTTCATTCACTGGACCAAGTTTAGCAAAAATACCCAATACACCCAAATTTGAATACTGGTGAGGTGGAGGGAGGAGGGAGGTTATTGTATTTGTCATTTGGGAGTTGTAGTTGCTGGGATTTAAAGTTCACCTACAATCAAAGACTATTCTGAACTCCACCAATGATGAAATTTAACCAAATTTGGCACACAGAACTCCCGTGGCCAACAGAAAATACTGGAAGGGTTTGGTAGGCATTGACCTTGAGTTTTGGAGTTGTAGTTCACCTACACCCAGACAACACTGTGGACTCAAATAATGATAGATCTGGACCAAACTTGGCATGAATACCCAAAATACTCAATGTGGCCAAATGTGAACACAGGTAGAGTTTGGGGAAAATAGACCTTGACATTTGAGAGTTGTAGTTGCTGGGATTTATAGTTGACCTGCAATCAGAGCATTTTGAACCCCACCAAGGATAAAATTGGGCCAAACTTCCCCTATGACAATACTGTGTTTTCTGATGTTCTTTGGCAACCCCTCTGACAACCCCTTGTGACCCCCCCCCAGGGGTCCTGACCCCCACGTTGAGAAACGCTGGTGAAAGTGGACAGCCCAGCCATATACACACATACATATTTTCACTTTTATTATCTGTATTGATACTTAGGTGATCCCTTGTTATCCGAGTAGGATAGTCTTCTAAGGTCAGTGTACTGGTGGATTCGTAGGTGACTGTGGAGCCCTATTCTTGACCTGCATCTTCTACCACAGTGAGGGCATTGGATTCCAGGTGGAAGGTGGTCTCAGTCAGGATTGGCTTGACGTGCCTTCCTCTTGGCATTTCTCTCTTTCGCTCCCCATTCGTGCCTCTTCAAATTCTGCAGCACTGCTGGTCACAGCTGACCTCCAGCTGGAGCGCTCAAGGGCCAGGGCTTCCCAGTTCTCAGTGTCTATGCCAGAGTTTTTAAGGTTGGCTTTGAGCCCCTCTTTAAATCTCTTTTCCTGTCCTCCAACATTCTGTTTTCTGTTCTTGAGTTCGGAGTAGAGCAACTGCTTTGGGAGAGGTGGTTGGGCATCCAGACAATGTGGCCGGTCCAGCGGAGTTGATGGCAGAGGACCATCACTTCAATGCTGGTGGTCTTTGCTTCTTCCAGCACGTTGACGTTTGTCTGCCTGTCTTCCCAAGAGATTTGCAGGATTTTCTGGAGGCAGCGCTGATGGAATCGTTCCAGGAGTTGCACGTGACGTCTGTAGACAGTCCACGTCTCGCAGGCGTATAGCAGGGTTGGGAGGACAATCTATATAAATAAAAATGTAATGTTCATTTGTGGGATTAACAGAACTCAAAAACCACTGGAGGAACTGACACCAAATTTGGACACAAGACACCTAACAACCCAATATATGTCCTTCACTCAAAAATATTGATTTTGTCATTTGGGAGTTGTAGTTGCTGAGATTTACTTACAATCAGAGAACATTCAGAATGCTGGCATTGAACCAAACTTGGCACAAAGTTCTCCCATGACCAACAGAAAATACTGGAAGTGTTTGTTGGGCAGTGTCCTTTGGTTTTGGAGTTGTAGTTCACCTACATCCAGATCACTGGACTCAAATCAAATCAAATCATTTATTTCGGTCATTGACCAGCACAGGAAATAGTCACATTTTCATACAAACTTGGTATGTTTGGTACATTAAAAATATAAATATAACTACTGAAGCACAATATGGGTGAGGGAGCAGAAGGGAAGGGGAAATAGGGTAAAAACATACAATGCCCAGATCCATCACCAAATTGTAGATTCAAAGAAGAAGATTACTGGACACACAGCTAACTTTTGGGACTAGTCATTCCCTGACGGATGTTGTATGCTGCTGCACAGAACTTTGCAACATTGTAGGTTGTAGCTGAATTAATATCTGCAAGTAGCAGGGAGGTATAAAATTGCTGTGGACTCAAACAATGATGGTTTTGGACCAAACTTTACATGAAGACTCAGAGCAGGGGAGGCCCTGCTCTCGGCCCCACCTTTATCACAAGTGAGGCTGGTGGGAACGAGAGACAGGGCCTTCTCAGTGGTGGCCCCTCGCCTGTGGAATTCACTCCCCGGGGAAATTAGGTTGTCAACATCCCTCCTCTCCTTCAGGAGAAAGCTGAAGACATGGATATGGGACCAGGCATTTGGGTAGTCTGGCAGGGTAACAAGGTAATGATGACTAGAGTTGGAAAGGACTATGGCAATGCTAAACGGATTGACGGATTTTAGAACACGATGAACGCAGGCTTTAGAGCGGTTTTAGTTGATATTGTATTGTGTTATATTGTACTGTATTAATTGTCTGTTTTTAATCTATTGTGTTATTGTTATTGCATTTTATTGTAATTGTGGGCATCGAATTGTGCCGGATGTAAGCCGCCTTGAGTCCCCCCTAGGGGGTGAGAAAGGCGGGGTATAAATGTCCGAAATAAATAAATAAATAAATATGCCCAAATGTGAACACTGGTGGAGTTTGGGGAACATGGAATCTTGACATTTGGGAGTTGTAGTTGCTGGGATTTGTAGTTCACCGACAATCACAGAGCATTCTGAACCCCACCAATGATAGAATTGGGCCAAACCTCTCACACAGAACCCCCATGTGGGCCACAGCAACGCGTGGCAGGGGACGGCTAGTAGCTTTATAAACAAGCACCTTGGTATCCCTATCTGCTTCATTCAGAAAAAAAGCTGCACTCGCAGAGCTCAGGATAGATATATAATTTCATGAATGAATATGTATATATATGTGTGTGTGTGCTAGTTAATAAATATATAGGAGCAGCTTAGTTGAGGGTTCCTGTATGGGAAAGAGGCTGGATTAGATGGCCTTTGGGGGACCCCTTATAAGATTTCAATCTGTAAGCCTTGCAGAGAACAGCTGGGGCCTCCAGATTGAATGACTCTGGGGTATATATATATACATGTGTGTGTGTGTGTGTGTGTCTCCATACAAGGTGTAGGTCCCATTGCTGACCATTGGGTGGCACCACTGAGCCAACCAAAGAGAAAGGGAAGAAGGGAGGAGAGAGGGGTGGAAACTCGGGAGAAAAGAAATGTGGTCGAGATGAAGCAGAGTTGGCAGAGGAAGCCAGAGGGTTTCTTTCCAAAAGGGATCCTGTCTGTGTATACTATACATAGGGGAAACGTAAGACCTTGAGGATCTCCTTCACAAAGTGGGTAAGCTTTGTTATAATTCCATATCTTTTGAGAGGGATTGTGGTTTGGCTGGAGCAGAGCAAGCGGCAGGAGGCATTGAGAGCCAGATCTGGTGTGCAAGCTAGATTTTCAGATACAGCTGTGTGTGTATGTGTATGCATGCCTATTAACAATCGTTTTGTCTTCCTTTCTGGGCTTGAAAGTGGCCCCATCCCCCTTGGAGAACAAATGGCTTTCCAAAGTCAAATTCCGGAGGAAATTTGAGCAGGATCCGGATCTGGACAGAAAGAAAAAAAAGGAAGGAAAGAAAGAAAAGAAAGAAAAGCTGGCAACGTGGAGGGAAGATCACAGCCTGGAAAAGATGGGGTGAGAGGATCATCTTTCTTTCTCAGATATTGATTGATGTTTTGTGGTCCTGATCAAGGCTGTAGGATGATCTTGATGGCTCATTTTGAGGTCCAAAAGTAAAGTAATGAATGGCTGGAGCCTGAAGTTTTGCAGTCCCAAGGAGGGAATGGGTCTCTTCTGAGATCTTCTAGTGTTTCCTTTGAGAAAGAAGAGCAACAATGGGGTGTGGCTGGTATAGACTTCCCATAAGGGAAGGAAAGATGGGATTTGTTCCTTTGTTGGGGTGACCTTCTCATGAAGGAACCCACAGCGATGTATTCACTAGGTCTCTAAGGGACCCCCAAAGAGCATCTAGTCCAGCCTCCTTTCCATGCAGGAACCCACAATGAACCCACTCCTCAATATTTATTAATTAGGTCTCTAAGGGACTCCCAAAGGCCATCTAGTCCAGCCTTCTTCCCATGCAGGAACCCACAATGAACCCACTCTATATTTAGGAATTAGGTCTCTAAGGGACTCCCAAAGACCATCTAATCCAGCCTCCTTCCCATACAGGAACCCACAGTGAAAGTATTCTTATATTTATTGTCTAGATCTCTAAGAGACCCCAAAGGCCATCTAGTCCAGGCTTCTTCCCATGCAGGAACACACAATAAACCCACTCCTCTATATTTATGAATTAGGTCTCTAACGGACTCCCAAGGGTCATCTAGTCCAGCCTCCTTCCCATTCAGGAACCCACATTCTTATATTTATTATCTAGATCTCTAAGAGACCCCCAAAGAGCATCTAGTCCAGCCTCCTTCCCATGCAAGAACCCACAATGAACCCACTCTATATTTAATAATTAGGTATTTAAGGGACCCCCAAAGAGCATCTTGTGCAGCCTCCTTCCCATGGAGGAACCCACAATGAACCCACTCTATATTTAATAATTAGGTATCTGAGGGACCCCCAAAGGCCATCTAGTCCAGCCTCCTTCCCATGCAGGAACCCACATTCCTATATTTATTATCTAGATCTCTAAGAGACCCCAAAGGCCATCTAGTCCAGCCTTCTTCCCATGCAGGATCCCACAATTAACCCACTCTTCTATATTTATGAATTAGGTCTCTAACAGACTCCCAAGGGCCATCTAGTCCAGCCTCCTTCCCATTCAGGAACCCACATTCTTATATTTATTATCTAGATCTCTAAGAGACCCCCAAAGAGCATCTAGTGCAGCCTCCTTCCCATGGAGGAACCCACAATGAACCCACTCTATATTTATTTATTAATTAGGTATCTGAGGGACCCCCAAAGAGCATCTAGTCCAGCCTCCTTCCCATGGAGGAACCCACAATGAACCCACTCTATATTTATTTATTAATTAGGTATCTGAGGGACCCCCAAAGGCCATCTAGTCCAGCCTCCTTCCCATGCAGGAACCCAAAATTAACCCACTCTATATTTATTAATTAAGTATCTAAGGGACCCCCAAAGGCCATCTAGTCCAGCCTTCTTCCCATGCAAGAACCCACAGTGAACCCACTCCTCTATATTTATTAATTAGGTCTCTAAGGGACACCCAAAGACCATCTAGTCCAGCCTCCTTCCCATACAGGAACCCACAGTGCACCCGCTCCTCTATGTTTATTAAGTGGGTCTCTAAGGAACCACAAAGTCCATCTAGTCCAGCCTTTTTCCCATGCAGGAACCCACAACAAAACTCTGCCTCCTTTATTGACTGTTAAATAGTGGGATGGCTTTCCTTGGAGAGAAGTGGACTCTACTTCTTTGGTGGACTTGAAACAGAGGTTGGATAAGCCTCTTTCAGGAGTGATTTAGTTGTGCCAGGCAGGTGAAGGTTGGACTGGATGGCCTTTGTGGTCTCTTGTGATTCTAAAATTCGATATGTATTTTTAACAGAGAATGGATGGAGGTTGGACTGGATGACCAACCTCCATCCATTCTCTAGGATTCTATGATTATATAGTCCCATTTCTCCACGAAACTTCAAATGTCTATGAGGTTGGATGGCCATCTGTTGGAAGAGATTGGATGGTGTCTTCCTGTCCGGCAGGATGGGGATGGACCAGATGGCCTTTGGAGGTCCCTTCCAACTCTAGGCAGGGAAAGAATAAGAACTTCTGCTTTAAAAGCCATTTGACAGAGGGCTGAGTCAGCAGGGCAGCGAGCCAGCGGCTTTTTTCCCAGGCTGCCTCTCAGCTAGAAAAGAGGCCTCTGAAAAGACAAACCAGATGTGTTTTTTGAAGAAATGGGAAGGGAGGTTTCCAAACTGCCCTGTGTTCAGAGATAAACTAAGATCTGGTGCGGTGTGAGCTTTGGAATACAACTCCAGAGACCTGGGTTTGAATCCCGTTCTCGGCCATAGAAACGCACTGGGCGACTTGCCCCACAAAGTACTTACAGTTAAGTCGGAACACAACAACAGCAGCAGGGACTGTAAAGAAATAGGACAGCAATACGCAATCCCAACTTCAGTATTCAGCGATACACCTTTAGACTTGAGGATTCTTATGATTGTTGTTATTATTATTGATCCCATCTTCGTTATTCAACAATACACCTTTAGACTTGAGGATTATTGTGTTACTATCTTGGGTCCTCAGTGTTGCCTGGGTTATTTGAAAAAAAGTTTTTGAATTGTACAAAATGCATAAGGTTGCGGGTGAACTACAACTCACATCATGCCAGGTGAACCACGAAAAAGTCCATCAGTACTTAAAATTGGTTATGTTGGGCTAGTTTGCTCTAGATGAATCATTGGTGGGATTCAGTGTGCTCTCTGCCTGCAGGGTGAACTACAACTCCCATTATGGTGAGACAGTCCCATCAAACCCCTCCAGTAGGTTGAGTGATTAATGGCAGTTCTGCGTGCCAAGTTTGGTCCAGGTCCATCATTGGTGGAGGTCATTGTTTCTTTGTTTGTGGGTGAACTACAACTCCCAGAAAGTAATCACATTTCAGCATATCAGGTATGTGTGCATGATGTTTGGGTTCACACTGCTCTCTGAATGTAAGTGAACTACCACTCCATCAAATGAAGGTGAAATTCACCGAAAGACCTCCAGTATTTTTTTGCTGGTCATGGGGCTCTGTGTGCCAAGTTTGGTCCAGATCTATCATTGTTTGGGTTCATAGTGTGCTCTGGATGTTGGTGAACTACAACTCCTATAAATCCCTCCAAAGGCCTCCAGTATTTTTGTTGGTCATGGGGATTCTGTGTGCCAAGTGAGTTCCAGGTCCATTGTTGGTGGAGTTCAGAGTGCTCTTCAATTGCAGTTGAGCTATACATCCCAGGACCTACAACTCATATAATCATGGTGAATTTCCCACAAACCTCTCTAGTATGTTCAGTTACTGATCAATTCCTCTGTTTACTATGTGTCATAGAAAAGAATTGGAAAGAGTTAAGAGAGAGGTCATGCAAATTCCACACCATTGGAGAATCAGAAACACTGGGATATCTGTGGTGGAGGAAACACATAAAATCTAGGATGAAATCATCCCCAAATGAAAGCCTTCACTTAGGAGGTGGGCAGTATGGCTTTTGTGGAGACCATTGGCAGGGCTCTTGGACGTGTTCATGGCACTCATTATAACTTGCAATGTTATTGGTGTCTTCTGAGTAGCGGGAGCTAGAGCTGTTTGTGGAGGCAGGAGCTTGTCTGTGTAAGTGGACAGCCCAGCCACATACACACACATATATTTTCAATTTTATTATGCGTATAGATAGATAATTATTATTGATCCCGACTTCCTTATTCAACAATACTCTTTAGACTTGATTTTGTTGTTGTTGTTGTTATTGAACCCGACTTTGGTATTCAATGATACACTTTTAGACTTGAAGTTTACTGCATTATTATTATTGAACCTGACTTTGGTATTCAATGGTACAGGATTGAGTATGTTTTGAGTGTTGTGTGGGATCCCCAAGGCCATCTAGCCCAACCCCTTCCTGCCAGGCGGGGAGACACAATTACAGGGCTCCCGAAAGAGGCCCATCCAATCCTGGAGGGAGGAACCCAAGGCCTTGGGGCCTGTCCAGATGAGTGCCCGGTCGTTTCTAAATTTAGAGAAGGGGAATGCTTGGCCCGCGGAGCAGGCTGCGGTATGTGAACGATATGTTGGTAAGCGCGGAGAGTGTCCCAGAGGATTAGCCAGGTGGGAAATGGGCTTGGGAAAGATAAGCCTTTCTTACATCACGTTCCCCCGAGACTCACCTCCTTATTTCTTGGGAACATGTTTCCATTGTTGAATCCTAGAGCTGTAAGAGAGACCTCCAAAGGCCATCTAGTCCAACCTAAGACGACACCCAGAAGGAGGGAGTTTGGGGATTCAAACCGGATCGTGAGATATTGAGTTGCTGTTTTTGCTGAGCCACTTGCACTCCTAGAATAAGAAGAGTTGGATGAGACCACATGGGCCATCTAGTCTGACCCCCTGCCATGCAAGAAAAGCAACAACCAAAGTACCCTAACAAATGGCCATCCAGCCTCTGTTTAAAAGTGATGCCATACGTTTCCTAATTCATCCTTTCTGACTTTGAAACGTCCCAATTTCCTTCCTTCTTTTGCTTGCAGCTTCCTCCCATCGCTGCAAACTGGGCCCGAAGCACACTTAAGGCACATTTCTGTCCAAGGAGTATGTGGTTCATCCCTTTTCCATTACATCCTTATAAAAATGACGTTGTAAATTATCACGTACCTTTAGGTTCATGGCACAACTGGTGATGGCGGGGGTCAATCCCAAATATCTTCTAGCAGAAGACATGGGATTTTGAATGGGAAAGATGTACAAGACTTGGGGCCCTTTGAGTAGAAGAAGAAGAATAAGGGATGAAGGAGAAGGAGGGAAGAGGAGAAGAAGGAGGAGGTGGAGAAGAAGATGGAGGAGGAGAAGAGAAGAGAAGGAGAGGGGGAAGAGGAGAAGGAGGAGAGAAGAGGAAGAAGGAGAGGGGGAAGAAGGTGGAAGAGGAGAAGGGAAGGGAAGGGAAGAAGGAAAGATGAAGGAGGAAAAGGAGAAGAAAGGGAAGAAGAAGAGGAGGAAGAGAAGGGAAAGAAGAAGAGAAGAAGGAGAAGGGGACGTAGATGGAAGAGGAAAAGGGAAGGGAAGAAAAGAAGGAAGATGAAGGCGGAAGAGAAGAAAGGGAAGAAGAGGAGGAGGAGAAGAAGACAGGGGGAAAGAGGGAAGAGCAGAAGGAGGAGGAGAAGAGGGTAGGAAAGAAATGGAAAGAAGAAGAAGATGGAGAAGGAAGAAAGAGGAGGAGGAGAAGGGAAGGAGGAGGAAGAGGATAAGAAGAAGAAAAGAAGGAGGAAAAGAAGAAGGAGGAGGGAAGGAAAGAAGGGAAGAAGATGGAGGAGAAGAAAGATAAAAGACGAAGGAAGAAGGAAGAAGAAAAAAGAGAAGAGAACCAATGTATTTGAACCTGAACCCACATGTTCCCCCTCTTCCTCGCACACTCTAAGACATCCACAATTGCACACATTCCAGGAAAAGATCCCATTGGATGCGAGTGAGGGCCCGCAGGGACCAATCAGGTGATTTTTCCCCTCTCGACGCCCCTTTTAGACATAGAAAGGAGTCTGGTTAGGAAAGGGGTGTGTGTGTGCGTGTTCTCTTTTTAATAACTGCAGCTGCAGGGAGGGGAGGATGCGACAGCTCTCGAATAGCAGAATCCTAGAATTGGAAGAGACCCCCAAGGCCATCCAGTCCAGCTTTAACCTGATCCGATCCCTCCCGACAGATGGCCATCCAGCCTCTGCTTGAAAGCGTAGAATCATAGAATCCTAAGAGTTGGAAAAGAGCCCAAGGGCTGTCCAGTCGGACCCCATTCTGCCAGGCAGGAATAATAATAATAAGTCAGCATCTCTTGGCATGTGCCAACTGGCACGGAAGCCAGACGCTCCAAGAGGAAGGAAGAGAGGAAGAGAGGAGGGCAGGAAGGAGGGGTGGCCCAAGAGCATTCACATGCTATTTTTAAAATATGGCTTCAAAGTTACTGAAGGGGAAAGACTGTGACGAAAGCCAAGAGCCTCCGAGCCGAGCAGGGATGGACACGGGCCAAGTTTTGCCATTCAGTCGTAAGGCCTGATAGTAGCATCCTTCCATTAAAAGGCTAGCCAGCCCTTCATTCCGCAATCCACCACTCTCTTTGTTCCCTCCCTCTTCTTTCTTTCCATCATCACTTTATTCCCTTCCAGCCATCACCATCCTTTCTTTCCATCTCTCTTTTCCGTGCATTTTCTTCCTTCCTTCCTTCCTTTCTTTCTTTCTTTCTTTCTTTCTTTCTTTCTTTCTTTCTTTCTTTCTCCATCCTTCCCTCTTCCTTCTTTCTTTCCATCTTCCTCTCCCTTCCCTCGCTCCTTTGCATCTTTTCTTTCTTTCTTTCTTTCTTTCTTTCTTTCTTTCTTTCTTTCTTTCTTTCTTTCTTTCTTTCTTTCTTTCTTTCTTTCCATCCTTCCCTACCTCTATCTTTCATCTTCCTTCTTTCCATCTTTCTCTCCTTGTCCTCCCTTCCTCTTCTTTCTTTCTCTCTCTCTCTCTTTCTTTCAATCCTTTTTTCCCCTTTCTTCCACCTTCTTTCTTTCCATCTTCCTCTCCCTTCGCTCCTTTCCTTGCATCCATCCATCCTTTCTTTCTTTCCAACCTTCTCTTCCTCTTTCTTCCCTTTCCTCCCTTCCTTGCATCCTTCTATATTTCTTTCTTCCCAACCTTTCCTTCCCCTTTCTTCCATCTTCCTTCTTTCTTTCCATCTTTCCAAATCTTCCCTCTCTCCCTTCCTTGCTCTTTCCTTCCTCTCATCCTTCACTTTCCTTTTCTTCCATCTTCATTCATTCTTTCCACCTTCCTCTCCCTTCCCTCTTTCCCCTCTTTGCATTTTCTTTCTTTCTTGTTCTTTCTTTCCCTTTCTTCCACCTTCCTTCTTTCTTTCTATCTGCTCTTCCTTATCTCCCTCGCTCCCTTCCTTTTGCAATCCACCTCTGTCCTTATTTCTTTGGAAACTTCTCCCTCACTTGCTTCTGTTTTCTTTCCATCTTTCTGTCCTCTTCCTTCCTTCTTTCATTTCTCCCATGTTCCTTCTTTCATTGAACCTCTCCTGATGTATTTGGAAACTCCCCCTCTTTCTTGCCACCCTCTCTTTCCTCTTTCCCTCCCATCCATCTTTGTTTACATCTTTCCTTCCTTCTTCTCTTATTCCTTCCTTGCATCTTCCTTTGTTTTCACCTTCCTCCCTTTTCTTTCCCTCCCTTTCACAATTCACCTCTTTCCTTAGTCCTTTGGAAACTTCTCCCTCTCTTCCTCCCTTCTTCTTACTTTCCATCTTTCCTCCCTCCCTCCCATCTTTGTTATTTCCATTCCTGCCATTCTATTATTATTATTATTATTATTATTATTATTATTATTATTATTTTCCATCTCTTCTTGCATTGCTTTGGACTTGGGGTCATTCCAGGTCAAGAGGTCTGGCCAAAGCGGAAGAGAGTGGGACTAGGGCTTCCATTGCCATCGCAGGATCCCATTAAAGTGGCATTGGGCTGCATGACGGTCTCTAGTGTAGATGCCCCCGTATGCTCTGTCTCCCTCCTCTTTGAGCCTCAGCCGGTGGCTTGCGATGGGTAAGTGACTCTGAAGCTGTCTCAAGCCGAGCGTGAAGTTCTCCCCTTGCCGGGGGGCAAATGCGAGCCATCCAGCTCGGAAACTGCTGCTGCTGCTTCGCGCAAAGACGCCCAAGCCGAGACCTAGAGAGTGCGACAATCCTCCAACAGCTGCTTCTCAGGCTATTGATGCAGCCAAGAATGGTATTGGCCTTTTTCTCTGCCGCATCACACTCTTGTCTTGTGTCCAGTTTGTGGTCTATTAAGAATCCTAGATGATGATGATGATGATGATGATGATGATGATGAAGACTATTATTGACTTCTCTCCGTCTTAGCACAAGAATCACATTGGCCTCTTTTGCTTCCACATTACACTCTTGCCTCAAGTCCAGTTTGTGGTCTGTTAAGACTCCTAGATGATGATGATATTACTGACTTCCTTCCATCTTGGCACTAAGACCCCTAGATGATGATGATCGTGATGACTATTATTGACTTCCCTCCATCTTGGCACTATACTTCTATCGATGCAGCCAAGAATGGTATTGGCTTTTTTGCTGCCTCATCACACTCCTGCCTCATGTTCAGTTTGTGGCCTATTAAGACTCCTAGATGATGATGATGTCAATGACAATGTCTATGATTGACTTCATTCCAGCTTGGCACGAAGACTCTCAGATGATGATGATAATTATTATTATTATTACTATTATTGACTTCCCTCCAATTCAGCACTAAGACTTCTGGATGATGATGATGACGATGATGATGATGACGACGTCGATGACAACTATTATTAATAGGTTCTTGTGGGTTTTTTCGGGCTATAGGGCCATGTTCTAGAGGCATTTCTGACATTTCACCTGCATCTATGGCAAGCATCCTCAGTAGTAGTGAGGTCACTACCTCTGAGGATGCTTGCCATAGATGCAGGCGAAACGTCAGAAATGCCTCTAGAACATGGCCCTATAGCCCGAAAAAACCCACAAGAACCTAGTGATTCCAGCCATGAAAGCCTTCGATAATAAACTATTATTGACTTCCCTCCAACTCAGCACTAACATTCCTAGATGATGATGATGATGATGATTACTGTTACTGACTTCTGTCCATCTTGACACTAAGACTCCTAGAAGATGATGATGATTATTATTACTACTACTATTATTGACTTCTCTCCATCTTGGCACTAAGACTCCCTGATGATGATCATGATGATGATGATTATTTTGATTCCCTCCATCTTGGCACTATACTCCTATTGATGCAGCCAAGAATAGTATTGGCCTTTTTTCTGTATCACACTCTTGTCCCATGTCCAGTTTGTGGTCTAGTAAGACTCCTAGATGATGATGGTGATGATGATGATTATTATTATTCTGTCCCCGCACCCAATATAGTGCATTAGATTGCATTATATGGTAGTGTAGACCTATATAATACAATTCAGTGCAGTTTAAGCAACACAACATGGCAGCCTAGATGGACCGAGAGACGGCATAAGAAACAGTGTCCGAATTACTTTTACACTTCGTATTAATTTTTGCAGCCATCAGAGTGAGCTGAGGGTGAAGGCGGAGGAGAGGAAACTGGGGCATTTTATCAGTAGAAAGAGTTGGAAGGCAGAGGATTCATTCTAATCCTTAAAGAGACAGCAAACGTTGGCAGACATAATGAATAAGTTAGAAGAAATCTTTAGCTTGGACCCATTTGGGTCAATGATCCATATCTTCTGCCTCTATGTGTTTTAACTGTCGTTTAACCCTGCTTCTCCTTGCTAGGAAATGAATCCCCTTCCAGCAGCAGCCAAAATCGATATTCGGGCTCCTTTGAGGAGGCTAATGGCGGCTTAACCCCTTCCCTTCTCCTCCGTTGCCTCGATCAATAGTAACCAATGTCAACGATTAGGTAATGCCTCCCTTCCATCCCCAAGAAAAAAGCTCTTTTGAGCTACATGTGGGTCTCAGGCTCCGTCATTGCCCAAGTGTCATTGGAACCACATCTGTTTCTATTTCCCCCTTTTGCATTCCCCCCCCCATTCTTTCTTTCTTCTCTTTCTTCTCTTCCCTCATACCCTTTTCTCTTCTCCATTCTTTTCCCCCCTCTTTCCTTCTTTTTTTATCCTCTTTCTCTTCCCTCATACCTATCCTCTGTTCTCTGCCTTTCTTTCTTTCTCTCTCTCTCTTTCCTTCCTTCCTTCCCTCCCACATCTTAAATGCTTTCTCCCTGTCATTTCTCTTCCTTCCTTTTTCTCTTCCCTCTCCCATCTTTCCTTCTCTCTTCCTTTTTCTGTTTTTGCTCCTTCTTTCCTCTTCCCTTCCCTCCTTTCCTACTTCCTTCCTTCCCCTTCCCTCTCTCCTTTTCTCTTTTTCCTTCCTCTTCCCCTTCCTCCTTTCCTCCTTCCTTCCCCTTCCATCTCTTTTCACTCTTCCTTTCCTTTCTCTTCCCCTCCCTCTTTTCCTCCTTCCTTCCTTCCCCTTCCATCGTCTCCTTTTCTCTCCTTTTTTCCTTTCTCTTCCCCTCCCTCTTTTCCTCCTTCCTTCCTTCCCCTTCCATCATCTCCTTTTCTCTCCTTTTTCCTTTCTCTTACCCTCCCTCCTTTCCTCCTTCCTTCCCCTTCCATGCTTTTCTCTCCTTTTTTCCTTTCACTTCCCCTCCCTCTTTTCCTCCTTCCTTCCTTCCCCTTCCATTCTCTCCTTTGTTCCTTCCTTCCTTCCTTCCTTCCTTCCTTCCTTCCTTCCTTCCTTTCCTTTCTTTCTTTCCTTCTTTCCTTCCTGCCTTTCCTTCCTTCCTTCCTTCCTTCCTTCCTTCCTTCCTTCCTTCCTTCCTTCCTTCCTTCCTTCCCCTCTCTCTTTTCCGTCTTCCTTCATTCTTTTCTCCCTTTCCTTCCTTCTCTTCTCTCTCCCTTCCCCTTATACATATCTTACCTTTCTTTCTCAGTCACAGGAGGGCCACTTCATCCAGCCACAATGTATCCACATTGTTCCTTTCCCTCTGCTCTGGGGTGGGTTATTGAATCCAATCCCTTCTATCATTTTAATTGGGGCTAATGCAGTGTCTGTGTGCCAAGTCTGGTCCTGACCCATCCAGCCACGGAGGAGCCTTTGTGCTACAAACCAACCAACTGACCTACATACTTTCTCTTGGCATCCAAGATGAGACAGGATCTGGTCCCTTCAAGATTATGTCAGACCTTTCAAACTGTGTTCCCGGCCTTCCCCTTGGGCCTGAAGGGCTTCCCCTTTACAGGGGAGACCTTTAGGTGTGTAACCCTGTCCTCGTCTCTCTTCCAGGGAGCAGCCAATCTTCAGCGCCAGGGCCCACATCTTCCAGATCGACCCGGCCACCAAGCGGAACTGGATCCCAGCCAGCAAACATGCCCTGACCGTCTCCTATTTTTATGATGCCACGCGCAGCGTGTACCGCATCATCAGCGTGGGCGGGACCAAGGTGAGAAAGATGACAAAGGGGAGAGTCCACACTGTGGAACAAAGGCAGTTTGATGCCACTTTCACCGCTGTGGCGATGCAATCCTGGGAGCCAAAGACCTTGCCAAACTATACCTGAAGACCCCGTTCAAGCGACACCTCCCGGGATTACGCCACATTTCGCCGTGGGAGTTAAAAGTGGTGTCAAACTTCATTCATTCTACCATGTAGATCAGGTATGGGCAAACCCAGACCCAGGGACCAATGCAGCCCCTTGGGCTCTTTTCTTAGGCCCTCCTGTCTCTCACCATCCTATTCTTCCTTCCTTCTCTCTTTCCTTCCTCCTTCCCTTCATCTTTCTCCTTCCCTCCCATCCTTTCATCCTTCCTTCCTCTCTTTCCTTCCTCCCTCCTCCCTTTCTTCCCTCCCTCTTTCTTTCTCACTCCCCTCTTCCTTCCCTTCAACTCTTTCATCCTTCCTTCCCTCTTTCTCCCTCCTTCCTTCCTTCCTTCCTTCCTTCCTTCCTTCCTTCCTTCCTTCCTTCCCTCCCTCCCTTTTGTATTTCCTTCCTCTCTTTCCTCCCTTCCTACTCTCCCTCTTTCTCTCTCCCTCAATTCCCTTCAATCCTTCCTTCCTTCGCTTTTGCCTTTCGTTCCTTCACTCTTTTCCTCTTACTTAACTCTCTCCCTTCCCTCCCTCTTTTCTTCCATCCTTCCCTTCCACTCTTTTGTCCTTGCTTTCTTCTTTCCTCTCTCTCCCCCTCTTTCTCCTTCTTTCCTTCCCTCCCTTTTGTCTTTCCTTCCTTCTCTCTTTCCTTTATCCTTCCCTTCCTTCCTTCATCTTTCCTTTCCCTTCCTTTCTTTCTTCCCTTTTGTCTTTCCTTGCTTCTCTCTTTCCTCCCACCTTCCCTCTCTCCCTCTTTCTCCTTCCTTCTCTCTTTCCTTCCTCTTTCCCTTCCTTTCTTCCATCACCAGGCAGCCAGTCCTCCTAGCAGGGTGTGCTACCATGTGGCCCCAAGTTAGAAAGCTTGCCCAAAGAAGGGCAAATACCCTGGCCAAACAATAAGAAATTACATAACCTTGAACGGTAGCATCAAACTACATTAGTGTCCTACATTAATTGTGTCAATTCTACGTTAGATGCATCAAAATGCATCAATCCATTAGATGCAATTTTTTCATGTCAGGAGCGACTTGAGAAACTGCAAGTTGCTTCTGGTTTGAGAGAAATGGCCGTCTGCAAGGACATTGCCCACGGGATGCCTGGATGTGTTACCATCCTGTGGGAGATTTTTCTCGTGTCCCCACATGGGGAGCTGGCGCTGACATACAGGAGCTTACCCCACTACGTGGATTCAAACCACCAACCTTTTGGTCAGCAGTCCTGCCAGCACAAAACTGCATTAATCCTACGTTAGATGAATCACACTACATTAATCCCATATTAGATGCATCAAACTGTATTAAACCTGCATTAGATGCATCATACAGTATTAAAGCTGCATTAGATGCACCAAAACTGTATTAATCCTACATTAGATGCATCATACAGCATCAAACGTGCATTAGATGTACCACAACTGTATTAATCCTGCATTCTCTGCATCAAACTGCATTAATTGTATATTAGATGTATCAAAAATGCATCAGTCCTGCATTAGATGCACCAAACTGCATCAGTACTACATTAGATACATGAAACTGCATTAATGCTTCATCAGATGAATCAAAACTGCATAAAACCGACTTTCAATGCATCAGAATGCAGGAATCCTATATCAGATGCATCGGATTACATCAATCCTACTTTCAAATTGTGTTAATCAATCATTAGATGCATCAAACTGCATTAACTGTACATTAGGTGCATCAAAAGTGCATTGATCCTATGTTAATGCATCAAACTGCATCAATCCTGCATTAGATGCATCAGACTGGCATCATCTGTCGTTTTATGCCATGCATCCTCATAAAGGTTGTTGTAGGTTTTTCGGGCAATATGGCCGTGTTCTAGCAGCATTCTCTCCTGACGTTTCGCCTGCATCTGTGGCAAGCATCCTCAGAGGTTGTGAGGTCTCACAATCTCTGAGGATGCTTGCCACAGATGCAGGCAAAACGTCAGGAGAGAATGCTGCTAGAACATGGCCATATTTCCCGAAAAACCTACAACAACCCAGTGATTCCAGCCACAAAAGCCTTCGACAATACATCATCATAAACTTCGGATGTTTTCACCCTTTCCGCCGCCCCTTGCTCTCTTTCCAGGCCATTATCAACAGCACGATCACCCCAAATATGACCTTCACGAAAACCTCGCAGAAGTTTGGCCAATGGGCCGACAGCAGGGCCAACACCGTCTACGGCCTGGGCTTCGCCTCAGAGCAGCACCTCTCCCAGGTGAGGATGGAAACATCATAGGGATAGTGTGGTCCATCCCCCACATTCGAATTTGGCTATCCCCATATTTATTTATTTATTTATTTATTTATGACATGTATATGCCGCCCTTCTCACCCCGAAGGGGACACAGAGCAGCTTACAAGTAATATGTAAATACAATATATTATATTATTACCATAGCACAATATTAGTATTATACTATACCATTATACTGTAATATTATTAGTAATGTTACATGTAATATGAAACATTTAATTATATAAATATATAATTATTATATTGTATTGGGTTAATACACTGCCTAATATATCTCTGGGTCCTCTTAGGAGTCCCTTAACAGATTCCATAAACAGAGTCTGGACCAAATTTGACACAAATTCCTGATACGCCCAAATTTGAATACTGGTAGGGTGGGAATTGTCATTTGGGAGATGTAGTTGCAGGGATTTATAGTTCACCTACAATCAAAGAGCATTCTGGACTCCACCAAGGATGGATTTAAACCAAGAACTCCCACAACCAACAGAAAATACCGGAAGGGCTTGGTGGGCATGGACCTTGAGTTTTGGAGTTGTAGTTCACCTACATCCAGAGAGCACTGTGGACTCAAACAATGATAGTTCTAGACCAAACTTGGCACAGATACTCAAAATGCCCAAATGGGAACACTGGTGGAGTTTGGGGAAAATAGACCTTGACATTTGGAAGTTGTCGTTGTTGGGATTTATAGTTCACCTACAATCAAAGAGAATTCTGAACCCCATCAACGATAGAATGGGGCCAAACTTCCCACACAGAACCTCCCTGGCGTGAGCCTCCCTCCAGCCTTACATGCTCTCCCTCACCCCCACATGCGCATAACGCTGCCATGTGCTGAGCACGCCTGCTCTCCCCTCCCAGCTTGGAGTTTCAGAAACAGCTTTTCCCTTGGCGGAGAGGCCAACCAATCACAGCAGAGGAGGGCTTTTGGTGGGAGGATTCACCATCTATTTCCAAAAAGAAAGAGAAGAACAGGCGGAGGGATCTTCCTCCTTTTTTGCCAAAAGGGTTCCTAAGACCATCAGAAATATATGCTTTCTGATGGTCTTTGGCGACCCCTCTGAAACCCCCTTGTGACACCCCCCCTCAGAGGTCCCAATCCTCAGGTTGAGAAACACTGAGGTAGAGGTATATATAGGCTTTTTTTCATCATTTGGCATCTTATGGAGGCAGGGCTCGATTCCGGCCACAGGGGGGTGCTGTCACTTCATCTCCTTGCCGAAGAGCTTTCTTTGTTCATAAACTTTACTCCGAACGCCGTGCCTAAAATACTTCCCCGCTTAATGCAGTTCCTATTCATTTACTCACATTGCTGTTTTCAATCTGCTAGGTGGGCAGGGAGCTGGGCTGAAGGTCAGGAGCTCACTCTGACTCAGCTTTGGCTGACAAGATTTTCTGCAGCTGCAGCTGGTGATTAACCTGCTGTGCTAAAGCCAGTATCCATGTTTCTGTATCCTCATTTCTCTCCATGAAGCTTCTAATGTCTACATACAAAGGGATCCTGGAGTTGGAAGAGACCCCATCTTGTCCAATTCCTCCCTTTGGGGAAAAACTTATGGTTTCTTCTTCTTCTTCTTCTTTCCCTCCTCGATGACAGTTTGCGGAGAAGTTCCAGGAGGTAAAGGAAGCAGCTCGCTTGGCGCGGGAGAAATCGCAGGATAAGACGGAGCTGACCAGCCCTGCCCTGAGCTTGACTTCCCCACAGGTAGGCATCCTCCATTCACATTAGCTTTGGCCACATTGCAAGCAAACACAGTCTGTTTATCAGAGGTCAGATCTAATGTCTATGAGACCAGATGACCATCTGTCGGGAAGGATCAGATTGTGTCTTCCTTAATGCCAGAAAGAGGTTGGACTGGATTGCCCTTTGGGATCCATTCCAACTCTAGGATTCTATCATGCTATTTCTCCATAAAGAGTCTAATGTCTATGAGACCAGATGACCATCTGTCGGGAAAGATCGGATTGTGTCTTCCTTAATGTCAGAAAGAGGTTGGACTGGATTGCCCTTTGGGATCCCTTCCAACTCTAGGATTCTATCATGCTATTTCTAATGTCTAAGAGTCTAATGTCTATGAGACCAGATGACCATCTGTTGAGAGGGATCGGATTGTGTCTTCATTAATGGGAGAAAGGGGTTGTACTGGATGGCCCTTGGGGATCCCTTCCAACTAGGATTTTATCAGGCTGTTGCCCTATTTTTCCATGAAGCTTCTAATGTCTTTGAGATCAGATGGCCATCTGTCAGGAGGGATCCGATTGTGTCTTTCTCAATTGTAGAAGTGGGTTGGACTGGATGGCCTTTGGGGGTGTGTTTCTTCTATGATTTTGGATCTGGAGTCTGTCTTCTAGGGCAATTGTGTCTTCCTTAATGTCAGAAAGAGGTTGGACTGGATTGCCCTTTGGGATCCCTTCCAACTCTAGGATTCTATCATGCTATCGCCCTATTTCTCCATGAAGCTTCTAATGTCTATGAGACCAGATGACCATCTGTTGAGAGGGATCGGATTGTGTCTTCATTAATGTCAGAAAGAGGTTGGACTGGATGGCCCTTTGGGATCCCTTCCAACTCTAGGATTCTATCATGCTATCGCCCTATTTCTCCATGAAGCTTCTAATGTCTATGAGATCAGATGACCATCTGTTGAGAGGGATCGGATTGTGTCTTCATTAATGGGAGAAAGGGGTTGTACTGGATGGCCTTGGGGATCCCTTCCAACTCTAGGATTCTATCATGCTATTTCTCCATGAAGAGTCTAATGTCTATGAAATCAGATGGCCATCTGTTGAGAGGGATCGGATTGTGTCTTCATTAATGGGAGAAAGGGGTTGTACTGGATGGCCCTTTGGGATCCCTTCCAACTCTAGGATTCTATCATGCTATTTCTCCATGAAGAGTCTAATGTCTATGAGACCAGATGACCATCTGTTGAGAGGGATCAGATTGTGTCTTCATTAATGTCAGAAAGAGGTTGGACTGGATGGCCCTCGGGGATCCCTTCCAACTCTAGGATTCTATCATGCTATCGCCCTATTTCTCCATGAAGCTTCTAATGTCTATGAGATCAGATGGCCATCTGTTGAGAGGGATCGGATTGTGTCTTCATTAATGGGAGAAAGGGGTTGTACTGGATGGCCCTTGGGGATCCCTTCCAACTAGGATTTTATCAGGCTGTTGCCCTATTTTTCCATGAAGCTTCTAATGTCTTTGAGATCAGATGGCCATCTGTCGGGAGGGATCCGATTGTGTCTTTCTCAATTGCAGAAGTGGGTTGGACTGGATGGCCTTTGGGGGTGTGTTTCTTCTATGATTTTGGATCTGGAGTCTGTCTTCTAGGGCAATATTGTTGTTGTTGTTTATCTCCCAATTTGGTGAACTTTGTTCTCCTTCCACGGCACTCGGATTTCCAGGCCTGAGGCGGCCGTCTCGCTCACAAGAAATTGGGTGGAATTGGGGTTAATGCCTGCCTTTTTCCAATCTCCTGGGCAACAAGAAAGGATGGATCCATCCATCCGGGGGCTGGAGGACGTGTTGTTCCTGGGGCAAAGCACAGATGGCTCTGGCAACAGATGAGAAGAAGGAGGGAGTGCGAACAGGACAACGGAGGAGAAGAAGAAAAAGAAGAAGAGAAGAGGGGTGGCATTAAAAGAGGGGTTAAGAGAAGTGGCTCATTCATGGTTTCCATATCAGGTTCCTAAAGTTGGATGAGACCCCCAAAGGCCAACTAGTCTGACCCCATTCAACCGTATGGGAAGACAAAATCTGATCCCTCCCGACAGATGGCCTTCCAACCTCATAGAACTCAGAAGGTTAATGGACAAACAGGGCAATATAGTCATAGAATCCTAGTGTTGGAAGAGAACACCAAAGGGCATCCAGACCAACCCCGTTCTGTTAGGAAGGAAAAGCACAATCAAAGCTGTCCCGACAGATGACCATCTAGCCTTCAATTATACTGTATTATATTATAGTATTGATAATAATAATAATAATAGTAATAATAATAATAATAATAATAATAATAGAATCATAGAGTTGGAACAGATGCCAAGGGGCCATCCCATCTCCCATCTGCCATGCAGAAAAAGACCTCCTGATAAATGGCCATCCGATCCCTCCCAACATCCAGCCTCATAGACCTTAGAAATAATATAGTGAAATAATATAGTGTCATAGAATCCTAGAGTTGGATGTGACCCCAAGGCCCATGCACTCTAATCCCATGCCACCATAGGCACCATCTGATATCTCCCAACAGATGGCCATCTAGCCTCTCAGATATTATAAGGTCCATGGAGAAATAGACCTACCGTCTTCTTCTTGATGTTTGGGGTTTGGGGTGGAAAAGGTGAGGGAGGACAGCCTCCCTGATTTGGCATGCTTTCTCACCCCCATAGATCTTGCCCAGCCCCATCATCAGCTCCAATGGGCCCGGTGACGATAAGCTTTTCCGGAGCCAAAGCGCGGACATGGAGATGACGACGGAAAGAGAGCGGATCAAGAAGATGCTATCTGAAGGGTGAGACCTTCGGCTGCTGCGTAGAATTGGAGGGGGGTTCTCTAGAGTGCATCTAGTCCAACTTTGGCTCAGTGAAGGACCTCCAGCTAAAGCCCCATTTTCTGGAGACATCTGTGTTCAAGCGAGAGGCAGCAAACACATTTGATGATTATCGTATTTTTTTTATTATGCATTTGTTCCAATTGCATTTCCCTAAACGCACATCCTTCCCATAGCTCTGTCTGCGAGGTCCAGTGGGAGGCTGAGTTCTTTACCCTGCAAGAGAACAACAACAAGCTAGTGGCTGCTTTGCATGAAGCCAACGCCAACGTGGAACAATGGAAGAAACAGCTGGCGGCCTATCAGGAGGAGACGGAGGCCCTGCGGCTGCGGGTGAGGCTTCCTTGGGCAGGGAGGGGCCTGTCTGGAGGCTGAGAGAGTGTGACTCACTCCAGCAGCCACCTAGTGGGGTTGAACTTCAGAACGAGGACCCCGGAATCTGACACTAAGTATGCCATCTATCCATCCATCCAAATATATATATATATCTATCTAGGATCATCCTATCTATCAGTCTATCCATCCGTCTATCCATCTATCCAGATATCCATAGATTGATCAATCAATTTATCGATCTAGATATCTATCCAGATATCTTATCCATCTACATATCAGTTTGTCTGTCTCTTCATCCATCCATCCATCCAAACACCCACCCATGCACCCATCCAGATACCTTATCCATCCACATATCTATGTACCTATGTATCTATCCATCCATCCAGATATCTTATCTATATATGTAGATATCTAGATATCTTATCCATCCACATATCAGTTTGTCTGTCTGTCTATCTATCTCTCAATCCCTCTATCTATCTATCTATCTATCTATCTATCTATCTATCTATCTATCCATCCATCCATCCATCCATCCATCCATCCATCCATCCATCCATCCACCCACACACCAGATAACCATATCCATCCACATATCTATCTATCTAGGATCATCTATCTATCCATCCATCCATCCATCCATCAATTCAGATATCTTATCTGTCTGTCTATGTACATATCCAGATATCCTATCTATCTAGCTTTCTATCTTTCTATTCAGAGATCCAGATATCTTATCCATCCACATCAGTTTGTATGTCTGTCTATTCATCTATCCATCCATCCACTTTATTTATTTGATTTATTTAGCAGTTTTGTATACCGGTCTTCTCACCTCCGTTCGAGGGACTCAGGCCGGTTTCCAACATCAATATTACAGACAGTCATTAAAACATCATATTCTAAATCACACTAAAACATTAAAATAGCAAAATACAATCATATAATTACAGTGGTCAGTTGTCATCAAAAATCATTATTCGTCGTCATCCATCCATATCACAGGATCATGGCTCATTCGTCGAATGCCAATCCCCAAAGCCAAGTTTTCACCTGTTTCCTGAACGTTAAGATAGAAGGGGCAGTTCTGATCTCCAGTGGAAGGGAGTTCCAGAGTCGAGGGGCCACCACCGAGAAGGCCTGTCTCTCGTCCCCACCAGCCGCGCCTGTGGCTGGTGGGATCGAGAGCAAGGCCCCCCTGGAAGATCTTAGAACTTCGTGATAGTTGGGAGATATGTTTGGACAGGTAATCTGGGCCAGAACCGTTTAGGGCTTTAAAGATTAAGACCAGCACTTTGAATTGTGCTGGAAGCTGGCAGCCAGTGGAGCTGGCGCAACAGAGGAGTAGTATGCTCCCTGTACCCCGCTCCCGTTAGTAGTCTGGCTGCATAGATACATAGTAAATTGATATCTATGGATACATAGATACATAGTTAGATATGTGAGTGGATAGATAGGTAAATTGGGCCGGAGTCGTTTAGGGCTTTATAGGTTAAGACCAGCACTTTGAATTGTGCTCGGAAGCTGACTGGCAGCCAGTGGAGCTGGTGCAACAGAGGAGTAGTATGCTCCCTGTACCCCGCTCCCGTTAGTAGTCTGGCTGCCGCACGTTGGACTAATTGAAGCTTCCGGGCAGTCTTCAGAGGCAACCCCACGTAGAGAGCGTTGCAGTAATCTAAACGGGATGTAACCAAAGCGTGGACCACCGTGGCCAAGTCAGACTTCCCAAGGAACGGGTGCAGCTGGCGCACGAGTTTTAATAGTGCAAAAGCTCCCCTGACCACCGCTGAAACCTGGGGCTCCCAGGCTGCACTTGGATATCTTATCCATCCACATATCTATCTGTCTGTTTGTCTATCAATCCGACCATCCAGACATCTATCTATCTATCTATCTATCTATCTATCCATCCATCCATCCATCCGCCCGCCCGCCCGCCCGCCCGCCCGCCCATCCATCTGCCCATCCATCCGCCCACCTATCCGTCCATCCATCCACCTACCCACCCACCAACCAACCAATACATTTCTCTCATCTATCTATGTATCTATGTATCCATCCATTCATCCATCTAGATATCTTATCCATCCACATATCTGTCTGTCTATTGACCCATCCATCCAGATATCTATCTATCCACCCACATATCTAACTATGTATCTATGTATCCATCCATTCACCCACCCACATATCTATCTATCTCTGTCTGTCTGGCTGTCTGTCTATCTATCTATCTATCTATCTATCTATCTATCTATCTATCTATCTGAGATATCTATCTGAGATATCTATCTAGATATCTAACTATGTATCTGTGTATCCATCCATCCACCCACCCACATATCTATCCATCCACATCCATCCATCCATCCATCCATCCATCCATCCATCCATGTAGCTATCCATTCATTCATCCATCTTAAGGGAACTGGATACCTTTGGGATCTCTTCCAACTTTAGAATAATCTATCCATCTATCCACCCATCCATCTTAAGGAAATGGACTAAATGATCTTTGGGGTTTCTTCCAACTCTAGGACCATCCATCCATCTTTAAGGGTTGAACTCTAGTTCTATCTATCTATCTATCTATCTATCTATCTATCTATCTATCTATCTATATCTATCTATCCATCTATCTATTTCTCTCTTTCTATCTCTCTATTTCTATCTCTGTTTGGGATTGGAATTGATGACCTTGGGGTATCTTCACTCTCTTTCTTGTTCTCTCCATCCATCCATCCATTGTAAGGGAATGAACTGGAGGGGTCTCTCCCATCTTTAGGATCCTCTATCCACCCATCCATCCTGGCCCTTGAGCTCTGGAGCAGCCTGGCTTGCCCCAAATGCTCTCCTAGGAACAGAAAGGTGAGCGGTGGAGGAGACGGAAGCCTCCTGCACCAATTCCTTTCCTTTATAGAGGCTGCTGAGTCTCACTGCAGCTACATCCAAGGTCGGCAGGTTAAAGGAAGGGGGGGGGGGGGCTCCGCAGCAGCATTGGAGAAGGCCAATTGGAGGCAAGGGAGAGACCAAAACGGCCCCTTTGTGGAGAATCCCAGACAAAGGAGAGGTCACCTTCCTGCAAAATAGGGAAGCAGGGACAAGCCACACAAAGGGCTCTCCCACCCCACAGCTCCTGTATCTTTCCCCCCACCTCCACCAGTCATCTGCATTCACCTCCCAGTGTGAGTCACCACCTCCGCCCTTTGTATATACAAAAAGGGATCCTGGCAGACTTTGAAAGGAAATTGAGGAATAGGGGATGGGAACTATGAAGCCAAGGTGGGAGGGTTGCAAATCATCCTTTAACAATCTTGAATTCCAATGCCGACTGCAGGGTCTGTCTCGGGTCTCAGTCCTGAGCGTAAAGAGCAGGATACAAATAAATGCAGCATAACAACAACAACAACAACAACAACAACAACAATAATCATCATCATCATCATCATAGTAACAATAAAAAATACAAAATAATAATAAAATAATTCAAAATAATAATATTCCAAACAACAACAATATTTTTATTGAATAAAATAATGAATTATTTTATTATTTTGCATATTTATTATTTTGAATTATTTTTATTATTATTTTGAATTAATAATATACTATCATATGATAGAATCATAGAATCAAAGAGTTGGAAGAGACCTCATGGGCCATCCAGTCCAACCCCCTGCCAAGAAGCAGGAATATTGCATTCAAATCACCCCTGACAGATGGCCATCCAGCATGTGTTTAAAAGCTTCCAAAGAAGGAGCCTCCACCACACTCCGGGGCAGAGAGTTCCACTGCTGAACGGCTCTCACAGTCAGGAAGTTCTTCCTCATGTTCAGATGGAATCTCCTCTCTTCATCCTTATTAATTGTTATTGTTATTTCAAATTATATTACTATTGTGATTTTTTGCTATTATTGCTGCTGCTGCTGCTGCTGTTGTTATTATTAGCCAGCAATGACCTTCTTGCAGGCCACAGGCTTTTATCCCTCACTTTCCCCCCAGGAAATAATATAATTCTCTTCTCCAAGCTAAAATTTCCCAACTTCTCTTAAAAGGATTCATGGTTTCCAGACACTTGCACCATTTTAGTGGCCCTTTCCATCTTGTCCCTAATCTATATTTTGCTTTACTGGTTTGTTTATTTATTTATTTATCGTGTCAGAAGCAAATTGAGGGTACAGTTATAATGCATTTAAAAATACAAACAAAGTTAAAAACTTGGCATTATACTAAATGTCCTTTGGCCAGAAGCTGGCAACTCGGAGTGCCTCTGGTGTCACTGTGAGAAGGTTCTCCATTGTGCATGTGGCAGGGCTCAGGTTGCATTGTAGTTAGAGGTCTGTGGTTTGCTCTTCTCCACACTCGCATGTCGTGGACTCCACTTTGTAGCCATTTCTTAAAATTGGCTCTGCACCTTGTGGTGCTAGAGTGCAGTCTGTTCAGTGTCTTCCAAGTCACCCAGTCTTATGTGTACCCAGGAGGGAGTTTCTCATCCAGTCTCAGCCATGGATTGAGGTTCTGGGTTTTAGTCTGTCACTTCTGGACTCTCGCTTGCTGATTATCTGCAACTATCTCTGTAGATCTTGCTGGCTGATATCTGAAGTGCTTCTTGTAAGTCAGAGCATGGTCCAGAGTGACTCCCAGGTATTTTGATGTGTTGCAATCCTCCAGTGGGATTCCTTCCCAGATAATCCTCAGACCTTGAGATGCTTGTATGTTCTTAAGGTGAAAAGCACATGTCTGCATTTTAGATGGATTGGGAATCAGCTGGTTTTCCCTGTAATAGGCAGTAAGAGCACCTAAAACTTTGGAGTACTTCTGTTCAACCATTTCAAATCTCCCTGTTTGAGTGGTAATGGCATGATCGTCAGCACAGATGAAATTCTCTGTCCCTTATGGCAGTGGCTCATCATTTGTGTAAATGTTGAATACTGATGGAGCAAGCACGTTCCCCTGAGCCAGGCTGTTCTTCTGTTTCCGCCATCTGCTTCTCTGGCCCTGGAACTCAACAAAAAAGCTCCTGTTTTGTAGCAGATTTCCTATGCATCAGGTGAGGTGGTAGTCCTTTGTGATATTACAATTTTTTCTCAGGAGGAGGTGATGATTTACAGTGTCATAAGCTGCTGACAGATTTATGAAGACAGCTCCTGTAATCTGCTGTTTTTCAAAACCATCTTCTATGTGCTGAGTCAGGTTCAAACTGGGTAAAGATATTATTATTCCAGGTGAGGCCTGATCAAAGCAGAGCAAAGGTGGAATCAATACTTCAGCCTTTAATCTACACACTTTCCTCCTATGGATTGCATTTGCTGCATCATGGTTCGCTAAGACCACCAGATCCCCTTCATTTGTGCTGCTTTCCAGCCAACTTGAAAGGCCCACTGTGTCCTAACCTTTGCCTGTTATCCCCGCGTTCAGGTGTCTGAACTGGAATCCCAAAGAGGGGCAAGCGACTTGCCCATTGTGGTCAAAGGAGAGTCCACTCCAGCCTTGGAAGAGCTAGAGCAGCTAGTGAAAGCCAAAGACGAGGTGAGGACCGAACAGCTTATTATGCATTTTAAATAATGAGAGGTACGGGGCAAACCCCTGTATCTGCAGCTACATACATACATACACATGTCAATGTATGTCTATTCCAAAAAGGCTGTTGCTACGTGAAGTAGCCCTCTGTGAGTTCACTTGGAAAGTAAGATGTCCTGTGTATGAGAAAAAGGGAGYAAGGAAGGAAAGAGAAAAAGAAGGGAAAGAAAGAATTGCAGGAGGGAAGAGAAAGAGAAGGGGGAAAGGTATGAGAGAAGTGAAGAGAAGAGAAAGGAAGGGAAGAAAGAAGGGGCAAAGGAAAGGGGGAGAGAAAAGGAAGAGAAAGAAAGAAAGGGAGGGGGAAGGAAGAGAAAAGAAAAGAAAAAGAGAGAGGTATGTGAGGAGTGAGGGAAAAAAAGAGAAAGAAGGAAAGAGAAAGGAAGGAGATAAAAAAAGGTATGGAGGGAAGGAAAGAACCACAAAAYGAAGCAAYAGGAGAAGGAAGGAAGGAAGGAATGGAGAAGGGAAAAAAGAAGGGAAGGAGGGAAGAGAAAGGGGGAAAAGGTATGCAGGGAGGAGAAGAAAAAGAAGGTATGATTGCTAGGTCAATTATGCTGTCATTCAAGAAAACAAAGACACCTGGTTATATATATATTTTTCTGTTTCAGGAGCTGCAACAGCTGAAGAGCCAGAAAGGGTCCCATTGGGAAGCTGGCAGCGAGTGCGAGGAGACCCATCAAAAGGTGCAGGTGAGGACAGAACTGGGACTCTCGATTTGTCAAACCCCATGATAAGTTGGGAAAGGACTTGAAAGAACAACAGTGTTGCATAGGGTTGGACTAGATGACCCTTGGGAGCCTCCTCTGTTTCTCAGTTGCCGTATTAATTTTGCTCTCCTCCCCAGGATCTGGAGCGCCGCAACGGTGACCTGGAGCGCCGGCTGACCCTGGCTGAGCGCTCGCTGTCGGAGACGCTCTCTGAGCGGGAGAAGATGCACCAGGAAGTGGCCAAAGTGGCCGAGATCATGGACATGAAGATCTTTGAGCTGAGCGAGCTGCGGCAGGACTTAGCCAAGCTGGTGGAAAGCAACTGAAACCCCAAACGGGAGCGGCTGCATCCGGTTTGCCATTGAAACGTCTGGTAGGAACCCCAACTTGGCCTTCCTTTGGATTGGCGACCACGAAGGGAACTACCTTCGGACTTCGGTCTCCTCTTCCCTGATGCTTTCATTTCTACGGAGCCGACGATACCCCGCCTTGTCTTTCCCCTTTCCCTTGGGATTTTAGATCCTGTATCCCCTTCTTACACTTAGATAGGTTTTGATAGAAAATGGTTCCCCTTCCCCTCTCCTCTTTTCCTATCTAATTCCTCCCCCCCTCTTTTTTTGCAGTGACTTTTTAATCAGACCCCTTTTTATATAGCTTGAACGCAGGTCTCCACAAACTGCAGCTCTTTTCTCTTTTAGAAGGAAAGAGGGGTCTCTCTCTCTCTCTGACTTTTATTTTCATCTGCAACCACCTCCTGTTGTATACGGTTCCCAAAAGCAAGCAATGAATTAGGTTTTAGCAATTTGGGAGAACGTGACTATGGGATTCAGGCAAAAGAGAGGCAGGGAAAAGGGTCTCCATGCCATAGAAAATAAAGGATGTTGCTCGGGTGAAACAAATGGAGAATTGAGCCATAAAACCTCCAAATGGATGGTTCAGAATACAGAGAGGGTCAGGTATGTTACTCAGGAGATTGGCCTGATAGTTAGCAAACCCAAGGCTGGGATTACAACACCTATTATGCCTGAATGTATACAGATGAAGCTGTGGATTGTGTCGAGGTGTTCTTATGAATGTTGTGGAAAGGCAATATATACATATATACATACACGCACACACATATATATATTTACAAGGGTAGAATGAAATGTCTTGGGTTCTCCTTTGGTGCTTCCACCTCGATTTTGGGCCAGATTGTTTTCACAATCTGGATCTCTGTTCATTGCCCTTCAATGAAACCCTCACCAAAGAAAAAGGGGAAGGGGAAAAAAAGCATCGGCGGACTGCAGCAAGGCAAACGGAGGGAAAAACATGCTTCGAAAGAGAGATGTTCAATTATTGATGGCGCGACACAGCAGGCGGCAAAAGAGCCACCGAAGAAAAGCATCGCTGGGAAGGCTCCGATTCTTATTTACCCATCTGTTCCTTTGACCACTCTTCATCCAACGTGTCTTCTCTGGTTTGTGTCTGAGCAGGCATTTCTAGGGAGGCGGAATAAAATAAATCTCTTCCTATTACTCCCTTGAAAACCATTATTGTGTTCGTGCTACCATGATTGTCTTTGCCTTTTTTGCAGCTGCATAACACCTCTGGCTCATCTTCGGTTTGAAGTTGGCTACAATATGGCAATTTGTCCTAAAGCCCTTCTCTTCTATTACCAGTGCATTGCAAGAATCTTACAATGAATTGCTATAATAGTAATAATAATAATAATAATAATAATAATAATAATAATAAGTTATATAACCATCATCATCACCACCATCATTATCATTACTTACCATCATCATCATCATCACTGTCATAATTATCACCATCATAATCACCACCACTATCATTGTTTCTTCAGATCGCTTTTACATTCTCATATTTCAAAATGTATTTTCGTGTCAGTTCCTCTCTCATGCGACGGTCACTTTTTCTCGTAAATGAGATAAACCAAACTGAGTTTCGTAAAGCCTTTTATTTGGCACCACTTTTTGTGGACTTAACAACTACAGCTGCTAATGTGGAAAATGTGGGAAAAAACTTCATCGCTTAAAGTGCACCTTCAAATTGATTTCAAACTCCAGAAAGGTTTTTCTGGGCAGGCCAAAAGTAGCAGAGTCCCAAATCAAGTGTTTGAAGTCCCTAAGGCTTAACATTGGACTTCCAAGTCTAGGATTTTATGATTTAATAATCTTAGGGAGCCTCTTCCCAAGCCAATGGTTTCTGTGATTGTATGACTTCTAATCCCCGTCGTCGCTGCTGTTCATTGAGGCCCATCTGGGTCATTTTTGCCCAGAGACATCCATGTCATCCCAAGGGGGACACAGGAAGCAAGCTGTTCGTCTTCTTGCCAGAACACAAATTAGAGGGAAAACACACACACATATATATATTGGCAAGTGGTATAAGGCTTCAATTTCTGAGTGTTGGATTTTAGAAGCCCTGCAGCACAAGATGGGTGGGCATTTCGTTTTCCATGCGTTTGCAGAAGCCGGAGGAAAAGCCTTCCAGTTCGACTCTGTAGTTGCCCATTCTCATATGGTCAAGAAAGGAAAAGGCCTCCCCGACGTTGCCCTTCTCTTTCCACCAGGAAGGTTTTTGGAAGCAGCGACTGGATGGCCATCTGTGGGGGGCAAGGGTGGGAGGGGGTTGGGCTTTGATGGTGTCTGGCAGGCAGAAGGGGGTTGGGCTGGATGGTCCTTGGGGTCTCCTCCAACAGCAGGATATCTATTTGTCCAGCTTAAGGGAATGGACTGGATGGGCCTGGGGATTTCCTCTAACTTTTGGATCCATCCATCTATCTATCTATCTATCTATCTATCTATCTATCTATCCATCCATCCATCCATCCATCCATCCATCCATCCATCCATCTATCTTTCTATCCCTCAAATTTTCCATCTTAAGAGAGTGAACTGGATGATTTTTGGGTTCCTCCCCCAATTCTAGGGAAGAACATGCAGGTCAAGAATAGGGCTCCACAGTCACCTACATACCCACCGCCAGTACACCGAACTTGGAAAACAATCTTACTCAGTCAYCGAGGGATCGCCTAAGTAAGTAATCCGTCCATCCATCTACCCATCTRTCTATRCATCCAACTATCTATCTMCTCATCTAACTATCASTCCATCTTTGWATCAATCCATCCATCTTAAGAGAGTGAACTGGARGGCCTTTGGGTTCTCCCCCAATTCTAGGGAAGAACATGCAGGTCAKGAATAGGGCTCCACAGTCACCTACGTACCCACRGCCAGTACACCGAACTTGGAAGACAATCTTACTCAGTCAGCGAGGGATCGCCTAAGTAAGTAATCCGTCCATCCATCTACCCATCTCTCTATCCATCCAACTATCTATCTGCTCATCTAACTATCACTCCATCTTTGAATCAATCCATCCATRTTAAGAGAGTGAACTGGATGGCCTTTGGGTTCTCCTCCAGTTATAGGATCACCCATCTATCCATCCATCCAAGGTGAAGAGTAGACTTAAGGAGCAGACAAAGCTTGTTTCCTGTTGCTCCCAAGACTCAATGGAGCCATGGGTTCAAGCTCTGTTTAGGAGAAAAGAGGATTCCACCTCAAAGTTAGAAAAATGGGTCAAAAATTGGGCACTGGCTGTTAGGAATTGTGGGAGTTGAAGTGCAAAACACCTGGGGGCTGAAGTTTGCATTGGGAAACGTGCAGTGCATGGCTCTTCTTAGGATTTCTGTTTTGCGGGGTTCAGCCCCTCCTTTTCTGTGCTGTTTTCTATCAGGCTTGCAATGTGCAAGCGTTTCCCCAAAGGCTGTCTCATTATGGCTCCGTTTTGTGCCTTTATTAGAGGAGGAGGAGGAGGCCTTGGGCACGCACTGGCGCCAGTGAGGAGGTGTGTCAGGGCACCTCATTGAGATGCTACCCTGGGATACGGTGGCCATGGCAACGGAAACAGGGAACCCCTCCAAAAAAGGCAAACGGAGGGGAGGCAAGATGCAGAAAGCAAGCAGCGTGATCGGCACATGGGTAGGGAGGTGGAGACGTTGCAAAATAGGCCGTTTTGTGCCATATACAGATTCAACAGTATCATAGCTGACATCTTGGACGAGCCGTGAGCATCACTACAGCTTCTGATTTTGGTCCTCTTTAGGCAGCAAAGCTCCAAAGAAAGGCGTTACATATTTTACACATTTGTCAATTGTATATACACCGTCGTATTTTGCTCCACGTGGATACTAGCATGCCTCAGATCATAGCATGAGTTTATTGTATTGGCGAAGGCTTTCATGGCCAGAATCACTGGGTTGCTGTGGGGTTTTTGGGCTGTATGGCCATGTTCCAGTAGCATTCTCTCCTGACGTTTTGCCTGCATCTGTGGCCGGCATTGTCAGAGGTTCTGTTGGCAGTGAAGCAAGTGGAGTGTGTGTGTGTGTATGTGTATACATACACGCACCTGTAGAATAATGTCCAGGGTAGGAGAAAGAACCCTTGTCTTCTTGAAGAAAGTGTGAATATTGCAACTACCAAGCTTGAATTGGACAGTAAACAATGAACAACACTCAGTAGCAGAACTACAGAAGAACAAGTAATCAATGGCCAGTCAAAACCTTCCAAAAAGAGAGTGCCTCCAGGCAACAAAGGCCAGGCTACCTCTATGCAGGTACCCTCACTGATTGACTTTGCAGCGTCAAGCTCGATAATTGCAACATTCACACTTTCTTTAAACAGACAAAGGTTCTTTCTTCCACCCTGGATATTCCAAACACACACACATGCTCCACTTGCTTCATTGCCAACAGAACCTCTGAAGATGCCTGCCACAGATAGAGGCGAAACGTCAAGAGAGAATGCTACTGGAACATAGCCATGCAGCCCAGAAAATTCACAGCAATCTTATAAGTTTAGACGGGGCAAACAGCACGGAGAATGGCATGCTTTACAGGATGCCAAAAGTGCATCAAGGGATAAACAAAGCTACATATATCCATTTCTGTTTGTATTTCACCCACTTTCGCAAGCATCCTGCGTACCTAAATCCCCTGCAACTGCAGAGGGCTGAACATAATAAAAACAATGGTATTTTTTATCCCAAAAAGCACCAATCTATACACATAATACAAGTGAAAATATATGTGTGTGTATGTGGCTGCGGTGTCCACTTACACAGACATGCTCCTGCATCCACAAACATCTACAGCTCTCATTACTCAGGAGACACCAAAGGCCCTCCCTCCAATGACATTGCAGGTAATAGCGAGCACCATGAACATGTCCAAGAGCCCTGCCAATCTCCTCCACAAACAGCACACTGCCCATCACCCAAGCGAAAACTTTCATACAGGGACAATTTCATCGTAGATTTTATGTGTTTCCTCCACCACAGATATCCCAGTGTTTCTGACACTCTCCATTGGTGTGAAATTGCATGACCCCACCCACTGCTTCTTCCTTAACCCTTTCCTATAGCACACAGCAAACAGAGGCATTGATCAGCAACTGAACATAGTTGAGAGGCTTGGGGAGAATTCACCATGATTTATAGGTGTTGTAGTTCACCTACATCTAGAGCGCACTATGAAGCCAAACAATGATGGATCTGGACCAAACTTGGCATGCATACCCAATATGCCCAAATTTGAATACTGGTGAGTTTTGAGGGGAATTGGCCTGGACATTTTGGAGTTGTGGGTACTGGGATGTATAGTTCACCTGCAATCAATGAGCACTCTGAACTCCACCAGTGAGTGAATTGGACCAAACTTGGTACAGAGCCCCGTGAGTAGCAAAAAAATAATAATACTGGAGGTCTTTGGGGAAAATTCACCTTGATTTGGGAGACTTGTATTTCACCTACATCCAGAGAACACTGTGAACCCAAACACTGATAGATCTGGACCAAACTTGGTACACACACCTGATATGTTGAAATGTGATTACTGGAGGTGTTTGGGGGGAACTGACCTTCCTTTTTGGGAGTTGTCATTCACCCACAACCATTGAAATGGTGACCTGGACCAAACTTGGCTCCCAGAACCCCCATGACTAACTCAACCTACAGGAGGGTTTTGAGGGGACTGACTCAGCATAGTGGGAGTTGTACTTTACCTTACTGCCAGAGAGGACACTGAACCCCACCAGTGATGCATCTAGAGCAAACTTGCCCAATATAACAAACTTTAAGTACTGATAAGAGCGTTTTGGGGTTAACCTGGCATGATGGGAGTTGTAGTTCAAATGCAAACTTATGCATTTTGTACAATTAAAAATTTGACTTTTCCAAATAACCTGGGCAATGCCAGGTATCCAAGCCAGTATGCTATATAAGAGACCTTTTTACTATCCAAATGTGTAGCAGACAATGGAGTCTGGTCACTCGCCATTTTATCCAAGGGGTGGACAAGATTTGCCGAATAGCATATTTGCAGGGAATACAATCTGGCCTACATGCAGGTCTCTTCTCCAGGAGGAATGGTAATGTATACATGGTTATGCATGCATGATGAATGAATGTTATAGTATATGTGAATGTTTCCCCTTTTTTGTTCGTTCATGTAACCAATGTAGCTATAGTCTGTGAGCCTGCTTATTTCTTTGTAAAGTGCCTATGCTCTGTCTCACTGGAAACCTTTTTAATGTTTAAAATAGTATTCATGACAACGGCAGCACTCTCTCAAAACTTCTGGACTTTTCTGCCTTTTGCGAAACAGGGAGGCTAATTTGCCGTTTGCTTCCAAAGTCTGGAAAAAGTAGGACAGGCTGTCAGGAGTCTCCTCTTTCATGCCGTGAGCTGAGAGCAAGATCAGAAGGAAGTTTTTGGCATTTCAAGGAACCTTTGCGGGAGACCCAGATTTGTCGATGACGGTTCGGCGGCTTCTTTCCTCCTCTCCGCACAAAGAACCAGGTTTCCAAACACAGGAGATTGCTTTGAAACTGACCAGCATTGAGAGATCCCACCCCCACACCCCCAATCTTTCAAAAGTACCATTGAATGCTCTGCGGTTCAAGACTCGACCACAAGTTACACATAAAGAGTAGATTTCGGAGGCTGCAAATCTGTATGGCAAGCAAAACATTCTTCACACAATGCAGGATGTCGCTATGCAAAGTGTGAAGGACGTTCAGCTTTTCAATTCCTCACCAGATGTCAGTTCCTATACCTATTGTACACATTTCATTCAAAACATCCAGCCCGTTTACAATTCCCATCATCAGTCTTCATGGGCGAGCATTTCTACGCATTTTTAGGATGCCACCAAAATTAAGGGAATCTCTTGGCCTATTTTCAAAACTCATGTTCCCTGGGCAACCTCCGAATTTTAATATTTAGGGGGACATTTCAATTCTGCCACCCATTCATTGTCATATAAGAGAGAAAATGTGACTATCACCTTGCTCTGTTGGCCAAGACATAGATTCAGAAACTTACTACTACTACTACTACTAGTTTGGGAAGCTGGCAATGCCTGGGTTATTTGAAAAGAGTATTTCTTGGCTGGGTTATCTGTCAGCTGGGTTTGGTGCTCTCTGGAGAAAGGTGAACTACAACTCCCAGATCCAAGCTCAATCACCCCCAAACTCTGCCTGTATTCACAGTTGGCCATCTTGTGTCTGTGTGCTAAGTTTGGTCCAGACCCGACATCGGGTGGGTTCAGTGCTTTCAGGATAAGGGTAAACTTCAACTCCCAAAATCAAGGTCAGTGCCCACAAACTCCTGTAGTATGTTCAGTTGGTCAAGAGGCTTCTCTGTGCCAAGTTTGGTCCCAGTTCATTTCCCCCCCCCCCCAAAGTCTCCAATATGTTCTGTTGGTCATGGGGAGTCTGTGTGCCAAGTTTGATCCAGGTCCATCATTTGTGGGGGTCGCAGTGGTCTGTGGGAGCCAGAAAAGGTGAAGGTACTGCAAGTTCCATAATATGTGATCCATCCTCCCCCAAACGGTGAATTACAACTTCCATCATGTTAAGTCAGTCCCCCAAACCCCTCCAGTATGGTCAGTTGCTGCTCATTCCTCTGTTTGCTGTGCGCCATAGGAAAATGTAGGAAAGGGTTAAGGGAGGGGCAGTGGGCGAGGTCATGCAAATTCCACACCAATGGAGAGAAAGAAACACTGGGATGTCTATGGTGGAGGAAACACATAAAATCTAGAATGGAATTGTCCCCATATGAAAGCCTTCACTTGGGTGGTGTGCAATATGGTGTTTGTGGAGGACCTTGGCAGGGCTCTTGGACATGTTCATGGTGCTCGCTATAACCTGCAATGTCATTGGAGGGAGGGCCATTGGTGTCTCCTGAGTAGTGGGAGCTATAGCTGTTTGTGGAGTCAGGAGCTTGTCTGTGTAAGTGGACACTCCAGCCACACACACGTATATAAATATTGTCTTATTCTATGTATAGATTATTACTCTTGCCCCAATTTGTATCTCCACCATCGACTAATGTGGTTCTTTCGTGGTTCTACGATATCGTCATTGTCATAATTTATATATACCATGTGTCCTACCCACGGTACACTTAGCTAAGAGAGAATTCTGCCCCCAGTATCTGAAAGTACTTTTGTTTTTTGTGTGTGAAATAAGAGCCGTAACAAGACTCCGAAATGCCAAAAATTTATTCCTAATTTCCCTGCACAGCTGGGAATGTAATTGAGGGTGCACCACATTCTCCTTCTGTGGGAAATGCTCCTGGCAGATGCATAGAGTTGCTCCCGTCTTGATGTGTCTGAGCCACAAACTTCCAGGAAGGAAGTGACGGCTTTGAAGGAGAGTCCCGAAGTGAAAGAGGAAGATGGAGAGGAAATGCCAGGAAGAACAGAGGTGAAGTAGGACTCCATGATAGTTCGAAAGGACATGAAAGAACAACAGTGTTGTGTAGGATTGGAATAGATGGCCTTTGGGAGCCCCTTGTGGCTCTTGGGGTTTTCCGAATTGTGGATTTTCAGGGTCGAGCCGGAATTTGAACCTTGGTCTCCGTACTGGTCTGATGCTTAAACCACTAAACCAACCTGTGTCATTCCCCTGCCTCCCTTAAGTGTATTTCCTCCCAGTTCGAAGAAGTCCAAACTGGGAATGACTTGGGCAACACTATCCCTTTCTCTCTCCCAACTCTGCACTAAAGGACAGTTCAAATCCCTCCACTCCCTTCTGCCACAGCTAGGACGGGGTCTGCCGTTTCCTTGCTGCCGGCCGCTGCTTTCCGCTGCTTCCGCCGTTCGTGCTTCTGCCGTTTCCTCTGCAGCCGCAGTTTCTGCTGGTCTTGCAAGGCCTGCTGGACCTTGATGCGGAACTCGCCATTCTTCTTCCGGATCTTGGCCAACTCAGCCTTCCGTTTCTCCTCCAGGTCTGGATCCTGCCAGAGAGAAAGATTTTTTCTGACTTATCGTTGATCTGATCCATCAGGACCGAGGGCATTCCCTCCTTTGCTCTCTGATAATAAAACTTTATTTATATCCCACCATCATCTCCCAAAAACGGACTCGTGGATGGCTTACAAAAGCACATAGTAGTGCAACAGAATACACAAGGTACAGTCAAATACATATAACAGTGTCAATTTACATAAAATAAATATACTGTATACTGAATGTATATGTATACACACACACATACACACACACACACACTGTATATACCCTTTTCCAGACCTTTTTTAGGCTGAAAAAGTCCCCCTCGGCTTATACTCGAGTCAAGATTATTTTATTATTTCACTGTGTTATTATTATTATTTTTATTACATTATTTAACTCTATTTATTATTATTATTATTACATTTATTATTTTACTCTATTATTGTTATTATTACATTTATTATTTTACTCTATTATTATTTTTATTACATTTATTATTTTACTCTATTATTATTGAAGGATACGTAAGCATATTTACATTGAAGAAGGTTAGAATAATGGTTTAATCAGAGTTAGACAGTCTTACATTAAATTACAGTTTTATGTAAATATTCAAAAACATTGAACCTACTGATGCCTCAATTAATGTAATTTTTGTTATCTATTTTTATTTTGAAATTTACCGCTAGCTGCTGCATTTCCCACCCTTGGCTTATACTCAAGTCAATACGTTTTCCCAGTTTTTTGTGGCAAAATTAGATGCCTCGGTTTATATTTGAGTCGGCTTGTACTTGAGTAAATAAAAACAACATATAAAATCCCTTCTAGTTCAATAAAATCCTCAATAAAATGCAGCAATAGCTGCGGAGTAAAATACGGATGTATCAATTTTAGTCACATAAAGTGCAAGAGTCAGACAATTCGCTTGGTCCTCAAGTATAAACTGATGTTGAATCATGTTCGAAGGCCTGCTTGAAGAGCCATGTTTTCAATGTTTTCCAAAAACATTGGCGTGCGGGAGCTAGCCTAATTTCTCTGGGGAGGGAGTTCCAAAGCCGTGGGGCCACCACTGAGAAGACCCTCTCCCTCTTCCCCATCGTGCTTGAGACGGAGACGGGACCGAGAGGAGAGCCTCCCTGGCAGATCTTACAGCCTGCACCTGTTCATAGGGGGAGATGTGGGTAATGACTTGCACTTTGAATTGGGCCTGGAAACTCGTTGGCAGCCAGTGGATCTGCTTTAATAGGGGTGCAATATGCCCCTATAACCAGCCCCAGTTAGTAATCTGGCTGCCGACCTTTGCACCAATTCCAGTTTCCGAGCAGTCTTCCAAGGCAGCCCCACACAGAGTGCATTGCAGTAGTCTATTTGAGATGTAACTAAGGCATGGACTACTGTGGCCAAGTCAGGATTTTCAAGGTAGAATCACAGCTGGTGCACAAGTTGTAACTGTGCGAAGGCACTCCTAGCCACTGGCAACACCTGAGCTTCAAGCGTCAGCTCTGAGTCCCAGAGGACCCCCAGACTGTGGACCTGTGTCCTCAGTGGGAGTGTAATCCCATAGAACACATGTTGCCACCCTAGACCCCAACTAGCCTCACAACTGACCAGGAGGACCTCTGTCTTGTCTGGATTAAGCCTCAGTTTGTCGGTCCTCATCCAGTTCATCACGGCTGGCAGACACAGTCCTACTCCCTTCTGCCATGCAGCAAAAACACAATCAAAGCGCCCCCAACAGATGGCCATCCAGCCTCTGTAATAATAATAATAATAATAGTAGTAGTAGTAGCAGAAACCCCAGAAACCACCCAGTCCAATGCTTGTCAGCCATGCAGGAAAAACACAATCAAAGCACCCCCAACAGATGGCCATCCAGCCTTTGTAATAATAATAATAATAATAATAATAATAATAATAATAATAATAATAATAATAATAGGAGAAACCCCAGAAATCATCCAGTCCAATGCTTGTCAGCCATGCAGGAAAAACACAATCAAAGCACCCCCAACAGATGGTCATCCAGCCTTTGTAATAATAATAATAATAATAATAATAATAATAATAATAATAATAATAATAATAATAGCAGAAACCCCAGAATCCATCCAGTCGAATGATAATATTAATAACAACAACAACAATAATAACATGTAACCAATGGATGCTAATTACAGGGAGATTCAAGGTTCGGAGGAATGTCTTTACCATCCAAAGGCCATTGCATAATAAGATCTATGGACAGAAGGTTGTCTTTTGCAACACTATAGGCTCTAACTGTTTGCCGTGTTTCTCCAAGGCTTTTGCCAGGGTTCGCCCTCGTCCCAAACCCTAAAATCTCTCTACAATCTTCCATCCAGGAACTAACCAAATCTAGCACCCAAACTGGGTGATTATAATAGGTACGGCGCAAACCCTATTATCCTCTGTAGGTCTTAAAGCCCTCCATTTCCATTGGGTGCCTATAGAGTCTTCCCTGTGGATACGGGGGCCACGCCGTGCTCTCATTGCTCGCAGACAACATATATAATTTATTATTCACAGTCTCAGCTCTATAATTAGCTCAGGCGCCGCATAAAGACTGGGTTGCGAGCAATATTAGGTCAAAGTGATCCCGTTACCAAGTGGTGCCCTAAATAACGCAGGGCTCCGATTCCTGTTTTCGGGGGGAATTGTTTATGCAACAGCTCGAAAAGGAGTACCTTTCCTTCCAGGATCATCTGCTTCCGCTTGTTGATTTCCTTCTTCTCATCAAAATCCGTCGCCTCCAGCCTCTGGAAGAAAAAGGAGCACAAGCCTGGATGTGGCTCAAACCTAAGGAGGTTTTCCGGGGATAATATATGCCCCTGTCCCATTCTCTCTCACTTACGATCTCGCATTCCCTGCGCACCACGTTCACTTGGGTGAGGATGCGCAGGACGTCGCCTTCCTCCACAGAGAACTCCTGCAGCTTCATTCCTAAGGCAAAGAAAGGACAACAGCCTCCTTGAGGACTAGAGCCTTGGTCTGGCAGCATCAAGGCCCTTTCCAAATAATAAGGGCTACTTGAACCTAAGTCGCCCTGAGTCGCCTTCGGGCTGAAATGGGCAGGATAGAAATAATGTAAATAAACTGTAGTCAGGTTCAATCCTAGAGTTGGAAGAGACCCAAAGTCCATCTAGTCCAACCCATTTCTGTCTTTGTACAGGAAAAGCGCAATCAAAGCACCCCTGACAGATGGCCCCCCAGCTTCTGTTTTAAAAGCCTCCAAGGAAGGAGCTTCCATAACCATGAAACCCATATCGGGAGCAGAAGTGAGCGTTTGGTGGTAATAATAATAATAATAATAATAATAATAATAATAATAATAATAATAATAATAATATTGTTATTATTTTATTGAGGCTTATTTGTATTATATTTAAAAAAAATATTATTATTTTATTATGGCTTGGCTGGGAATATATTCCCCCCCCAGGATATCTTCATGCATTCTTCCCATGTTCTGCCACTGGACAACATAATAATCATAATCATAATCATCATCATCATCATCATCATCATCATCATGAAAATAATCACAATTATTACTGTCATTATTATAATTAAAATTATAATTATTATAAATCTATCTATCTATCTATCTATCTATCTATCTAACCCATGCTCAAGGCAGGGCATAATCCTGTTTTAATGTTTGTATATTTAAAGTCTTATTGTAATGCTTTTTATTGTGAGCTACTTTGGGTCTCCGTATGGAGAGAAAAAGTGGGATATAAACATAATCTACACACATAATAAAAGTGAAAATATGTATGTGTGTATGTGGTTGGGGTGTCCACTTACACAGACAAGCTCCCGTCCCCACAAACAGCAACAGCTCACACTACGCAGGACACACCAATGGCCCTCCCTCCAATAACATTGCAGGTCATAGTGAGCATCACACCCCAGTGTTTCTTTCTCTCTCCATTGATGTGGAATTTGCATGACTTGCCCACTGACCCCACCCACTGCCTCTCCCTTAACCCTTTCCTACCCTTTTCTATGGCGCACAACAAACAGAGGAATTGATAGCAACTAAACATACTTAAGGGGGTTGGGGGACTGACTCAACATGATGGAAGTTATAGTTCACTCTGCATCAAGACATAGCAACGTGACCCCCACTGACAATGGACCTGGACCACATTTGGCACACAGAATCCACATGACCAGATTTGGGGGGAATTCACCTTGATTCATAAGAGTTGTCATTCACCTACATTCAGAGAACATTATGAACTCAACCAATGATTGATCTAGACCAAACTTGCCACAGATGATTGGATTTGCGGTACCTTCAAGTCATTTTCAAAGACCACTGCAACCCCCATGAATGATGGACTTGGACCAAACTTGGCAAACAGACACCCCCCCCCCCCAACCCACTTTACATCCTTGTCCAGTTTGGGGGAGGATGGTCCATGGGTGATGGAATTTGCAGTACCTTCACCCCCTCGGCTCCAACTTCCGTAGACCACTGCGACCTGATCTAAAGATGGGCCTGGACCAAACTTGGCACACACACTCCCAATGCCCAACAAATATACTGGAGACATTTGGGGAAACTGACCTTGATTTATGGGAGTTCACCTGCATCCAGAGAAACTGTGACACCCCCCCCCCCCCCCCCCCCCCCCCCCCCCCCCCCCGACAGTGGGCCAGGAACAAGTTTGGCACAGAGAAGCCCCATGACCAACTGAACATACTGCAGTGGTTTGTGAGAATTGACTTTGATTTTGGGAGTTGTAGTTCACCCATATTCAGAGAACACTGTAACCAGTATATGATGGATCTGGACCAAACTTGGCACACAGGCCCAACATGGCCAACTGTGCATACAGGCAGGGTTTGGGGTTGACTGAACTTGGATCTGCGAGTTGTAGCTCACCTGCATCCAGAGAGCACTGAACCCAGCAGACGTTGGATCTGGACCAAACTTGGCACACAAACCCAACATGGAAAACTGTGCATACAGACAGGGTTTGAGGGTGATTAGCCCACGATTTTGGGAATTGCAGTTCACCCACATACTTATGCATGTTGGAGGTGATTGCCCTTGGATCTGGGAGTTGTCATTCACCTGTATTCAGCGAGCATTCTGAATCGCACAAATGACAGACCTGGACCAAACTTGGCACACCAACTGAATATACCAGAGAGGATTGGGGGGAATTGACCTTGATTTTAGGGAGTTGTAGTTCACTCTTATCCAGAAAGTACTGAACCCAGCCGACGTCAGATCTGGACCAAATTTGGCACACAGACCCAACATGGCTAACTGTGCATACAGGTGAGGTTTGTGGGTGATTGACCTTGGCATATGGGAGGTGTAGTTCACCCTTATCCAGAGAGTTCTGAACCCAGCCGATGTCGGATCTGGACCAAAGCTGGCACATGGATCCAACATGGCCAACTGTGCATACAGGCCTGGTTTGGGGGTAATTGGCCCACGATTTTGGGAATTACAGTTCACCCACATCTTCTAATTTTCTAATGGGAGCACTAATAAAAAGCGTAGCTCTATTTTCTAAGAAATAGAGCTACAAATTACCAAACTGATATGACCCAACACCCCAAAACAAACAATGCCTTTTTCAAATAAGCCGGGCATCATGGGGTCCCCACTCTAGTAAATAATAAATAAAGTATGTTATAACTATGTTCCTGCTTGACCACAATTGGGTCTGACTAGATGGCCCTTGGGGGTTCCTTCAAACTCTTTAATTTGATTATTCTAATAATTATAATCACTGTATATACTCGAGTATAAGCTGAGTTTTTCAGTCCTTTTTTTAGGCTAAAAAAGCCCCCCTTGGCTTATACCCGAGTCAGGGTTATTTATTATTTTATTCTGTTATTATTATTATTTTTATTACATTTTATTCACTCTATTTATTATTATTACATTTATTATTTTTCTATATTTATTGTTATTACATTTATTATTTTGCTCTATTTATTATTGTTATTATTACATTCATTATTTTACTCTATTATAATATTTATTATTTTATTATTATTACATTTATTATTTTAATCTATTTATTACTATTATTACATTTATTATTTTACTCTATTATTATTACATTTACTATTTTACTCTCTGATCTTAAATTAGTTTTATGTAAATATTCAAAAACATTTAACCTAAAAATTTAGCCACAATTAATGTAATTTTATTGCTATCTATTTTAATTTTGAAATTTACCATTAGCTGCTGCATTTCCCACCCACGGCTTATATTCAAGTCAATACGTTTTCCCAGTTTTTTGTGGTAAAATTAGATGCCTTGGCTTATATTCGGGTTGACTTATACTCAAGTATATATGGTATTGTTTTATCAAGGCGGGGCACAATGTATGTTATAAATATGCCACAATTAGGTCAGACTAGATAGCCTTTAGGAGTCCCTTCTAACTCTAGGATTCTATAGCCCTATTGCTCCCATGAAGCTTCTAATGTCTATTAGGCTGGGCGGACATCTGTCGGGAGGGCTTAGATGGTGTCTGCCTTTATGGAAGCAGAAAAGGCCAATGCGATTCCCATCATCCCCGACTCACTAATCTGCTCCTCGATGGCATGGACCAGATGGATGTCGTACTGTGTCACCAGTGTGATGGCGATGCCGTGCCGACCTGGAAACAAAGAGAAAGAAAGCAAAGAGTGTTGGTGTGTCGAATCCACCCATTTCCTTTTAGGGGAGTCCCAAAGGAACCTTGTGTAGATGGGGGAACCCCTACACTCATAACTCTTTGCATGTTTTTAATAGAGAGAGTCACTGCAGTGGGAAGGTTTAGACCCATTTGACCATGGAAACCCACTCTATGCCATTGGGTAAGTCCCACTCTCTCAGCCTCAAAGCCTTCAAAAGCTTTGGATTTGCCTGGACCAAGAAAATAGGTTGGTCTTAAGGTCTCAACACTTTTAAAAATTGTTCTAAGTGTGTGTGTTTTACATTTTGGGTCCCATTGCACTATGTCACACTATGATTTGTGTTGCTGGGTTGTCAATGTCATTATTTCCTAATTGGTTCTATCATTGAAAAACATGGGGAAAGCTTGTGGTTTTGGCAAGGAATGGATCTTCAGAGTTCTCACTGTTTACTTTTATTACCGTTAATGTTAAATTCTATTTTAATGTGAGTTATGTTTTTCAGGATGTAAATTGTATTTGTTGTACTGGAAGCCACTCAGAGTCTTTTTTGGAGAGAAAAATAACTTATGTTATTATTATAACATATTATATAGTAATCTATCTATCTATATCTATACACATAATAAAAGTGAAAAATGTGTATGTGGCAGAGGTGTCCACTTACACAGACAGCCTCCCACCTCCACAAACGGGTTATAGTTCCAAGTGCTGAGAAGCCTCCAAAGGCACTCCCTCAACTGACATGTCAGGTTACAGCGGGCACCACGAACATGTAGCCCAATCCCTGCCAATGTCCTCCCCAAACACCATACTGCCCACGACTCAAGGAATCCTTTCATTCGGGGACAATTTCATCCTACATTTTAGGTGTTTCCTCCACCAGAGGCAGGCATCCCAGGGTTTCTTTTTCTCTCCATTGGTGTGGAATTTGCATTACCCTGCCCACTGACTCTCCCTTAACCCTTTCCTACTCTTCTCAATTCTGTCTGCATAACAAACAGAGCAGAAATGAGCAGTAACTGAACATACTGGAGGAGTTAAGGGGACTGACTCCACGTAATGGAAGTTGTTGTTCACCCTGCAACAAATCGGAGCACTGTGACCCCCACTGACAATGGACATAGACCACATTTGGAATGCCCATGACCAACGAAAAATTCGGAGAGATTTGGGGTGAAATTCACCTGGATTTATAGCCGCTGTAAGTACTGGGATGTATAGTTCACCTACAATCCAAGAGCACTCTGGATCCCACCAACAATGGCCCTGGACTTAACTTAGCACACAGAACCCCCATGACCAACACAAAATGCAGGAGGGCTTTGGGGAAAAATCACCTTGATTTATAGGAATTATCGTTCACCTACACCCCAAGCGCACTGTGAATGCAAACAACAATGGAGCTGCATCAAATTTGGCATGCATACCCAATATGCCCAAATTTGAATACTGGTGGATTTGGGGTGGCCTTAGACATTTGGGAGTTGTAGGTACTGGGATGTTCACCTGCAATCAGAGCACTCCGAATGCCACTGAGGATGGACCTGGATCTGACTTTGCAGAGAGTTGTCATTCATCCTGCATCTGGAGAGCAGACTGAACTCCACCAATGATACATCTAGAGCACATTTGTTCAACATGACAAACTTTAAGTATTGATGGGAGTTTCAGGGGGTTAACCTGGCATGATGTGAGTTGCAATTCATCCACACAACTTTATGCATTTTGTAAAGTACAAAATTACTTCTAATAACCTGGGCAATACCAGGTACCCAAGCTAGTAATATATAATAATGATATTATGTGCATTATCATATAATATATCCTATAATAATATAATATAATTATTACTATTATATATTTGTAACATTACACACACAAGCTTGGAGGTGCTCTCTGGATGCAGGGTGAACTACAATTCTGTCATGGGTGGGTCAGTTCCCCAAACCCCTCCAGTATGTTCCATTGGTCACCAGGGTTCTGTGTGCCTAGCTTGGTCCAGGACCATCGTTGGCTGGGTTCAGTGCTCTCTGGATTAAGGATGAACTGCAACTTCCAGATTCCCAGGGCAATTGGTCGCAAAATCCGCCTGTATTTACAGTTGGCCATGTTGGGTCTGTACACCAAGTTTGGTTCAGATATTTCGGTGGCTGGGTGCAGTGCTCTATGGATAAGGGTGAACTATAACTCCCAGACACCAATATCAAGTCACCCCCAAACCCTGCCTGTATTTGTAGTTGGCCATGTTGGGTCTGTGTGCTAAGTCTGGTCTTGATCCACTGTCGGTGGGGGGTTCCAGCTGCAGTCTGGATTCAACTCTACATAATAAAGGTGAATTTCCCACAATCCCCTCCAGTATGTTCTGTTAGTCATGGACCAAACTTGGCACACAGAATCCCGATGACCATACAGTGTATCCTTACCAGCCCTTGCCGTCCGTCCCACGCGGTGGATGTAGATCTTGGGCAAGCCTGGCGTGTTGTGGTTGATGACAACTTGGACCGTAGGGATGTCCAGCCCCCTAAATAATAATAATAACAACAACAATCATCATCATCATATATTCCTAGACATTTGGGAAATGTCCAATGTGTGATCAAATACAAAAGTCAACATAGTGATCTTGTTTGCTGTATACTAATCTTGTTATGTATGAAATAATAAATAAATAAAGGCACAGAGAAAAAGAGCATTATTCTCAGAACCTACAAGGCACACAAAGAGGTGAAATTAGGCCTTATTGGGACTCTAGGAACTAGACGAAACTGAGCACAGGAAAGCATAAAAATGTAAAGGTTTTCCCCTGACATTAAGTCCAGTCGTGTCTGACTTGACGGTTGGTGCTCATCTCCATTTCTAAGCATTGACGTTGTCCGTAGACACCTCCAAGGTCATGTTCCCGGCATGACTGCATGGAGCGCCGTTACCTTCCTGCCAGAGTAGTACCACAGCGGATAATAATAATAATAATATAAAAATACTAGCTGTGCCCTGCCACGCGTTGCTGTGGCCTATAGTAAAACTTATCAAAGTTGAGGTAGATATCTGGACTATTATGAAAGAGAGGTACCTACCTATTCCTTCCCCCTTTTCCTCCCCCTTCTCTCCTTTCTTCCTTCTCTACCTCTTTCTTTCTTTCCTTCTTTCACTACTTGGTTTCATCCTTCTCTCTTTCCTTCATTCCCTCCCTTTCTTCCTTTGCCTTTCTTCCCTCCCTGTTTGCTTCCTTCTTTCACTTTTTATTTCCTTTTATTTCACCACCATCATAACAATAACAATAATGCAATGCATTGCCTCTGGGACCTGACACCTCTCCCATTCCCCCAGGGTCTCATAGGAATAATAGCATAATAATAATAATAGAAATCACAACCTTTACCCGCCACGTGTTGCTGTGGCCAACCTTCCCTCTTTCTCTCCTTCTTTCCCTCCTTCCTTCCTTCCCATCTTTCCTTCTCCTCTTCCTTCTCTATCTCTTTCCTTCCTTCCCCCTTTTCTTTCTCTCCTGCTCTTTTCTCCTTCTCTTTCCTTCTTTCCTTCCCTCCCTCTTTTCTCTACTCTTCCTTCCTTCCTCCTCTTTTTCTTCTTCCTTTTTTCTTCCTTTCTCTCCTTCTTTCTTCCCTTTTTCCCTTTCCCTTTTACTTCTTTCTCTTCCCTTCTCTTCGCTTTCCTTCCCTCTTTCTTTCTTCCTTCCCCTTCCCCTCCTTTTCTTTCCTTCCCTCTTTCCCTCCTTCCTTCCTCCTTTTCTTTCCCCCTCTTTCCTTTTCTCCTTCTCTATCTCTTTCCTTCCTTCCCACCTTTTTCTTTCTCTTCTGCTGTCTCTCTTTTCTTCCTTCTCTCTTTCCTTCCCTCTTCTTCCTTCTTTCTCTAACTTTCCTTCCTTCCCCCTTTTCTTTATTTCCCTTTCTCTTTCTTCCTTCTTTCCTTCCTTCCTGTCTTTCCTGGATTTTGACAGGGCGGGAAGGGGCGGGGTGGGGTTTGGAGGTGGCGTGAAGTAAAAGGAGGTAAGATTGGGGCAGGGGAGTGATGGAGCGTGGGGTTGTGTGTGTGTGTGCGGCGGCGGGGGGAGTGATGGAGTGTGGGGTTGCGTGTGTGTGTGCGGCAGCGGGGGGGAGTGGGGTTGCGCGTGTGTGTGTGGCGGTGGGGGGAGTGATGGCGGCGGGGGAGTGATGGAGCGTGGGGTTGTGTATGTGCGGCAGGGGGGTGTGTGTGCGGGAAGCGGCGCGGCGGGGCTTGGAGTGGGCATGGCTTCCGCAGAGGGAAGACTGGCCGGAAGACTGTGTGCGCGCGCCAGGGAACTTGCGGCTGGGCGCCAATGCGCATGCTCAGTTGTTTTGCCGTTTTGTGAGTGTGTTGTGTTGTTGTTTTTCATTTTGAGTAGATATGTTTGTACCTTGTGGGTTGTGTTATGGGCATGGGAATTTTGGTTAAGTTTCGTTGGTTTTTTTTTAGTTTTGTTGTTTTGCCGTTTTGTGAGTGTGTTGTTGTGTTGTTTTTCATTTTGAGTAGATATGTTTGTACCTTGTGGGTTGTGTTATGGGCATGGGAATTTTGGTTAAGTTTCGTTGGGTTTTTTGAGTTTTGTTGTTTTGCCGTTTTGTGTGTGTTGTGTTGTTTTTCATTTTGAGTAGATATGTTTGTACCTTGTGGGTTGTGTTATGGGCATGGGAATTTTGGTTAAGTTTCATTGGGTTTTTTGAGTTTTGTTGTTTTGCCGTTTTGTGAGTGTGTTGTTGTGTTGTTTTTCATTTTGAGTAGATATGTTTGTACCTTGTGGGTTGTGTTATGGGCATGGGAATTTTGGTTAAGTTTCGTTGGGGGGTTTTGGAGTTTTGCTGTCCGGTTGAACCAACCTAACAGATTTATATATATAGATAATAACAATACACACCATAATAATATAGCAAAAATATAATAATAATTACAACAATATATAAATAAAACAATAACAATGTAATAACAAATTCACCTGGCGGCGACATCGGTCGCAATGAGGATCTTAAAGACACTCGACTTGAATTTAGCCAGAGCAGCAAAGCGTTGTTTCTGCCAGGAAAGCAAAAGCAACATTGAGAAAGCCTGACATACAGAATGGAAATACCCATATCCCCCCCCCCCCGCAAATAAGATATTAATTATATTAATTACAGCTCCAAAAGACACATTTGATAGACTATAACCATCTCTATTGCGTCGTGTGCAAAAATCTACATTTATTCAAAGGCAGTTTGCATTGTCATTCTTCTGGAACATTGTCAATTGTATTATTTATTTATATTTAGTTCCATATTCTTCTTATTCTTGTTGTTGTTATTATTATTATTATTATTAAATTATTCAATATGCATGTTACAATAGACGTACTATTGCATCTGTCAGGCTGACGATCTGAGCAGGGGCTTACTTTCGGAGTAGGGCTTACATTACGAGTGTCATGCTAGGGCTTATTTTCCGGTAGGTCTTATTTTTTGGACTTTGCTCACCTGCTTCATCATGGAGTGCAGAGCCACAGAAGGGAAGTTGAACTTCTTCAGCATCATGTTCAGGAGCTGGCAGTTCCTGCAAGAAGACAAGACAAGCCTTTTGGAAAGAGGCACTCTGTAGCTGCCCAGAGGCCCCCTTGCCCTGGTCTCTAGGTCCCTGCCAGTGGGTTCCAGTGCTCCTCAATGGAGCCATTGTTTCAAATGGCAGGAAATGAGATTCCACCTGAACATTAGGAAGAACTCCCTGACAGTAAGATGAACAATGGAACTCTCTGCCTTAGAGTCTGGTGGAGGCCCCTTCTTTGGAGGTTTTTAAACAGAGGCTGGATGGCCATCTGTTGGGAGTGCTTTAATTGTGCTTTTCCTTCCTGGAAGAAGGGGATTGGACTGGATGGCCCCTTGGGGTCTCTTCCAACTCTAGGATTCTATTACTATTATTATTATTTACACAAAAACACAGTATGTCACAGCAAATGAGATATATATGCTGGATTTCGTATCACAAAATCACAAGTTGAACACTTTCCAAGCGTCTAGGACTGTGTGATGTTTATTATTATTATTATTATTATTATTATTATTATTACTATATAAATAATAATAATAATAATAATAATAATAATAATAATAACAACAATAATATAATCAGAGGCTGGATGGCCATCTGTCATGTGTGCTTTGATTGTGCTTTTCCTTTATAGCAGAAAGTGGCTGGACTGGATGTCCTCTGGAGGTCTCTTTTAACTCTAGGATACTGTTAATAACAATAATAATAATAATAATAATAATAATAATAATAATAATAATTTAATCAGAGGCTGGATGGCCATCTATTGGGTGTGCTTTAATTGTGCTTTTCAACCTTGGAAGAAGTGCATTGGACTGGATGTCCTCTGAGGGTCTCTTTCAACTCTAGGATACTATTATTATTACCACTACTATTATTAATATTATTAATTAATATTATTATTAATATAATTTGAGACTGGATGGTCATCTGTTGGGAGTGCTTTGATTGTACTTTTCCCTCTTGGCAGAAAGGGGGTTAGACTAGATGGCCCATTGGGGTCTTCTCCAATTCTGGGATTCTATTATTATCATTAATGATAATGATAATAATATTAATAATATAACTGGAGACTGGGTGACTTTATGTCAGGTGTGCTTTGATTGTGCTTTTTCTTTATAGCAGAAGGTGGCTGGACTGGATGGCCCATTGGGGTCTCTTCCAACTCTAGGATTCTATTATCATCATTAATGATAATGATGACAATGATAAAAATAATATAACTGCAGACTGGATGGCTTTATGTCAGGAGTGCTTTGATTATGATTTCCTTCCTGGCAGTACTCACTTGCAAGTGTTGGTGAATATCATGATGGACCAGTCTGGGTGTTGGTCTTGGAACATCTGAACCAAGTGGACCAGGTAGGCATCCTTCACCTTTTCTGGGACCAGCAGGTAACGCTGGTCCAGCTGCTCCACCGTCCGAACCCTTCAGAAAGGAGAGAAAACAAGACATCAAGAGCTTGAGAAAAGGCCTGCCCTCTATAAAGGATGACACCATCAACATCGTTTCTGATTCCTTCTAAGCATAAGGATCCAAAGCATTCTGCATTAATGATGGATAACAGAGTGTAGATGTGCCCTCAGACGACCTGATGTATTGCTATTAGAGCAAATGACTACACCGTGTAACATAATTTGTGCGCCTGGGTTATAAATATCATTTCCTAATTGGTTCTATCATAGAAACATGGCAAAAGTTGATTAAAGTGCAGAAACTTTGTTTTTGTGGGAGGGACATCGTGCAGCATATTTTGCTATAGTTTTTCAATGACTATCTCATCGAGTCTCAACCAATTTAACATCGCTTGCACAAAAACAAAGTAAGAATAATACAATTAATAGGAAATCACGCTTTCAAACCAGGCACAGACATTTTTCATTTTTTTTACACAGTAATCATCTATCAATACACATAATAAAAGTAAAAATATGTATGTATGTGTGTATGTGGCTGGCTCCCGCCTCCACAAACATCTATAGCTCCCACTACTCAGGAGACACCAATGGCTCTCCCTCCAATGACATTGCAGGTTTTAGCAAGCACCATGGACATGTACAAGTGCCCTGCCAATGTCCACCATCAACACCACACTGCCCACAACCAAGTGAAAGCTAGATCTTATATATTTCTTCCATCACAGGCATCCCAGTGTTTCTGACTCTCTCCATTGGTGTGGAATTTGCATGACCCCGCCCGCTGCCTCTCCCTTAACCCTTTCCTATTCTTTTCTATGGTACACAGCAAACAGATGAATTGATCAGCAACTGAACATACTAGAGAGGTTTGGAAAGAATTCACCATGATTTACAGGAGTTGTAGGTCCTGGGATGTATAGTTCACATGCAATCAAAGAGCACTCTGAACTCCACCAACAATGGACCTGGAACTAACTTGGCAAACAGAACCCCCATGACCAACAAAACATACTGGAGATCTTTGGAGGGATTTATAGGAGTTGTAGTTCACCTACATCCAGAGCGCACTATGAACCCAAACAATGATGGATCTGGACCAAACTTGGCATGCATACCCAATATACCCAAGTTTGAATACTGGTGGGTTTTGAGGGGAATTGGCCTGGACATTTTGGAGTTGTAGGTTCTGGGATTTATAGTTCACCTGCAATCAATGAACACTCTGAATTCCACCAAGATGGAATTGGACCAAACTTGGCACAAAGAACCCCCATGACCAGCAAAAAACAAAAACAAAACTAGAGGTCTTTGGAAGAAATTCACTTTGATTTGGGGGAGTTGTAGTCCACCTACATCCAGAGAGCACTGTGAACCCAAACACCGATGGATCTGGACTAAACTTGGCGCACACACCTGATATGCTGAAAATCAATAACTGGAGGGGTTGGGGGGAACCGGCCTTCCTTTCTGAACCAGAGAGCACACTGAACCCCACCGATGATGGACCTGGACCAAACTTTGCCCAACATAACAAACTTTAATTACTGATGGAATTTCTCGGGGTGAACGGGGCATGATGTGAGTTGTAGTTCACCCACAACCTTATGCATTTTGTACAATCAAAAATTGACTTTTTCAAATAACTTGGGCAACACTGGGAACCCAAGCTAGTAATATAATAAAATTTTATATATATTTTATATATATATATATATATATATTAACAGGATGGATATACATGGAGTAAAAGATGGATAGCTAAGTGTGTATGTATGTATGTATGTATGTATGTATGTATGTGTATATATATATATAGAGAGAGAGAGAGAGAGAGAAAGAGAGAGAGGATATTATATGAATCTTTTCACTCCCTTGCAGGGATGTGGCTCATCCAGTCTTCAAAGAATTATGACTAATCTTCAAGAGAAATGGCTTGGCTGTGATGCTGCCTATAATCAGCTTCCCTTCCAAAGTGCCTATTTAAAAACCCATTTCTCTCCTAATCTCCCTCTGCAAATTGATTCTGTGCATTCAATTAGGAAATGACATGAATAGTTTTCATGAATAGTTTGAGAAAAGGACAGCAACTCCCATGATGCCCAAAGCAACCCCCCAGATAATGGGAGGTGAAGTCACATATTTTAGGGGGAGAGAGGAGAGGGGACTCACTCGGAGCTGGACTCCCAGAAGAAGGGCTGGTTCATGGCGATGCGCTGCAGTTGGCTCAGGGTCTCGGTCAGTGTGGCGCTGAAGAGCATGGTCTGTCGCCCAGACGGAAGCGCTGCCAGGATGGTCTCCAGGTCTTGGGTGAAGTCAGTGCAGCCCTGTTCCAGCAAACGGTCTGCTTCATCCAGAACCTAAAACCCAATAAAGAGAAAAAGAAGGGATCCTAGAGTGGGAAGGGACCCCAAAAGGTCATCCAGTCCAACCCCTTTCTGTCAGGTAGTAAGGCTCCATCCAAGGCTTCCTAAAAGATGGCCATACTGACTGAATGATAGAATCATAGAGTGGGAAGGAGCCCCTGAAGGCCATCCAGTCCAACCCCTTTCTGTCATAGACACCATCCAAGCTCTCCCGACAGATGGCCATCCAGACTCTGCTCAATAATAATAATAATAATAATAATAATAATAATAGAATCCTAGAGTTGGAAGGGATTCTATTATTAAGCCATCCAGTCCAACCCGTCTGCCATAAAGGAGGACACCATCAAAGCCCTCCCAACAGAGGGCCATGCAGACTCTGTTTATAGAATCCTAGAGTAGGATGGGACCCCCAAGGCCAACCAGTTCAACTTCCGCCTTACCAAGACCTTGATCCGTTGAAGGCTGCAGGGGTTGGAGCTGCGGAGGTGGTCGGCCAGGCGCCCTGGTGTGGCGACAACCACGTGGGGCTTGCGGGAGAGTGCCAACGCCTGGGACACCATGTCTGCAAGGAGAGGGAGGGATCACGTCATGTATTTGTGGTGTACTCTCTCAGCTTTTCGGCCCCATATATACGTACCCATGCCGCCCACAACGATGCAGTCCTTCAGGCCCAGTGGCTTCCCTAGGACTCGGAACTGTTCAGCGATCTGGTAGGCCAGCTCCCTATTGGAAACAATAAATCGAGAAGGGAATATACATAATATATCAACACAGTCCGTTCTACCACCTAGGAAGACACCATCAAAATCCTCCTGACAGATGGCCATCCAGACTCTGTTCAATAATAACAGCAACAATAATAATATAATCCTCGAGTTGGAAAAGACCTTTAAAAGGGCCATCCAGTCCAACCCCATTCTGCTGTAAAGGAAGACACCATCAAAGCCCTCCCGATAGATGACCACTCAGTGCCTGCTTAGTACTAATACTAATAATAGACCTTGTGGGTGTCAGGACGAGGCAGAAGATGCCGTAGGGGTCCTCTGAGAGCCTCTGCAGGACCGGAAGCACAAAGGCAGCCGTCTTCCCACTCCCGGTCTTGGCACAGCCCATGCAGTCACGGCCTGGAAAGAAAGCAAGAACTCTGAACATGTTCTGAGGCAAGATCAGCTCAAAGGAAGCCCCCCAGCTCTTTGCTAAGGGGTGATTAGGCAAGCCCCCACCTTAGCAGCCTTCAAGAAGGATCTCAAAACTTGGCTTTTCTGTTGCACTTTTGGAGAGTGATCAGATATTTCCTTTTGTTGCTCCTCTCATAATGTTTGTCCTCATATTGCATTCCCCCCTGCCTGTTTGAAGGCCTGTCTCCAGTACTCCGTGTCCTATGAGCTTCTCCCATACAAATATTTCTTTTACATCTCTATCTCATCCTGAATTCTATCATTTTATCTCGCACATGTGGCTCGCCCTTTGGGTTTGACTCTGTATTGTATTATTTTGTATTGTTTTATTGTATTCTTATGTTTTTATTTATTTAATTGTGATGTTTGTTTTGTTGCTCTGCTTTTATTTTGTACTGTTGGGCTTGGCATCATGTAAGCCACCCCGAGTTTCCTTTGGGGAGATGGTGGAGAGGTATAAATAAAGATTATTATTATTATTATTATTATTATTATTATTATTCCACTGATTAGATTTAAATGCAGAACAGGATTCGTGGAGAATTAAGTGGAGAAAACACTCTGCCCATGCTCAGGAAACCCTCCCTCCAGGATATTTAGTGGGGAGGGTGGTTTAGAGTGGGCGTGGTTTTCTGTGAAGGCATGGCTTGAAGAGCCTCCCACTGGGGATTAAAGAGAAACCGAGTGGGCAGGGCTTCACAAGGGGTGTGGTTTGGCTGAGAAGGCTTTCTGTGGGGGCGTGGCTTGAACGCCTAATTGCCAAGGGAAACCTGGAGGTGTAGCTTAATGGTTTTTTTGGTTTTTTTGAAACAGAAGAACGGCCTGCCTCAGGGGAGCGTGCTTGCTCCATCCATGTTCAACATCTACACAAATGACCAGCCACTGCCAGAAGGGACAGAGAGTTTCATCTATGCTGATGATCGTGCCATTACTGCTCAAGCAGAGAGCTTTGAGATGGTTGAAGCTCTAGGTGCTCTTACTGCCTATTACAGGGAAAACCAACTGATCCCTAATCCATCTAAAACACAGACATGCGCCTTTCACCTTAAGAACAGACAAGCATCCCGAGCTCTGAAGATCACCTGGGAAGGAATCCCACTGGAGCATTGCAGCACACGCAAATACCTGGGAGTCACTCTGGACCGTGCTCTGACCTACAAGAAGCACTGCCTGAACATCAAGCAAAAAGTGGGTGCTAGAAACAATATCATACGAAAGCTGACTGGCACAACCTGGGGATCACAACCAGACACAGTGAAGACATCTGCCCTTGCGCTATGCTACTCTGCTGCTGAGTATGCATGCCCAGTGTGGAACACATCTCACCACACTAAAACAGTGGATGTGGCTCTTAATGAGACATGCCGCATTATTACGGGGTGTCTGCGCCCTACACCACTGGAGAAATTACACTGCTTAGCTGGTATTGCACCACCTGACATCTGCCGGGAAGTAGCAGCCAATAGTGAAAGGACCAAGGCAGAGACATCTCCAGTTCATCCCCTGTTTGGGTATCAGCCAGCACGCCAACGACTTAAATCTAGACATAGTTTTCTAAGATCTACAGAGACACTCGCTGGAACACCTCAGCAAGCGAGAGTCCAAAAGTGGCAGGCTCAAACCCAGAACCTCAACCAATGGCTGATACCAAATGAGAGACTCCCCCCTGGGCACACAGAAGACTGGGCGACTTGGAAGGCGCTGAACAGACTGCGCTCTGGCACCACCAACCTTAAGAAATGGGGCTACAAAGTGGAATCCACGGCATGCGAGTGTGGAGAAGAGCAAACCACTGACCACCTGCTGCAATGCAACCTGAGCCCTGCCACATGCACATGGAGGACCTTCTTGCGGCAACACCAGAGGCACTCCAAGTGGCCAGATACTGGTCAAAGGACATTTAATCAACTACCAAGTTTGCAAAATCTGTTTTTTGTTTTTTTAAAATCTGTTTGTTTGTTTTGTTCTGTTAGAAATGTAATACAATGGTCTGGTTGCTGATGACACGATAAATAGCTTAATGTGTGGGCGTGGCTCGAAGGCTCTTCCAATGGGGGTTAGAGGCAACCGAAGGGGCGTGGCTTGAAGAGCCTCCCAGCAGGACGAAAGGGGGCGTGGCTTGGTCGAGCGCGCGAGGTCTTACCTTGGAGCGCGGGTGGGATGCAGGCCTCTTGGACGGGAGTAGGCCGCTTGAGGCCCAGTTGCTCCGCTTGCGCCGCCAGCCAAGGCGCCAGGCCCAAGGCACGAAAGCCGGCTGCCGCCATCACGCTCCGGAGGAAAGAGGAAAAAGGAAGCAATCCCACAGTGCCACGCGGTGGTGCGCTCTGCGTCATGACGTCACGAACCTGAGTCGGCCTGTGTAGGTTGTCATGGCAACGCTGTAGCTTGAGTCCCAGAATGCTCAGCGCGAAGCTTCAGAGCGTCGAACAAATTAGAAATCACAATAACACGAATATTATCATATTTAGTTGTTACCCAATACGAATTGATAGAAATTATAAGAAAAAAATAAAATACTATTATAATTTATAATTATAATATAAAACAATAGAACATATATATATATATACTTATGATTTATATTTCTTTTTTTCTTCTCTTGATCGCAATCTCACTCCCAGTCTTGTCACTCTAAACTTTTCCTTTCTCTATGTTCACACTCTCTAGTGTCAGCCCTTTTCCTTGCCTTGATTGGTCAAACGGGAGAAGGGGCGGGGCACAGCGAGTGAATGACAGCGCGACGGCCAATCGCCGGCGAGGGAAGTCGGAAGTGGAGACGTGTCAAACCTTCTGAAGGGAAAGCCGGGCCAAGATGGCGGCGACGGGGGCAAGTGGCGCTGCGGGCGAAGCCGACGAGCTCTTCGACGTCCGGAACAACTTCTACATCGGGGCCTCGCAGGCCGCCATTAACGAGGCGCAGCGCGTGAAGGTGAGGCGTCTTTTCTGCGAGGAGGAGCGGCTCCAAAAGCGACGAGGCCTCACTGTGCGGATTGGGGCCTGCAATAAGTTCTGTCCCTCAGCCGCTTTTTTCGAGATGTGGTTCACTCTAGTGATAATATGCCTCCCTTTCTTCTCTCCTCAGGCATCCAGTCCTGAGAAAGAAATCGAGAGAGACGTTTTCCTGTTCCGCGCCTATATTGCTCAGGTGAGGCCGAGATATTATATTGTTATTTTTGTATTTATATTATTGTAAAACATATTATGCAGTAGTAATATTATTTATTCATTCATTTATTTATTTTTATCCCGCTGTTCGCAGGGTAAAAATAAATAAATGGTTAAAACAACAGAAATTACATGTCACAAAAAACACAACATCCTCACCCCAAATAAAACAGACACACAAATAACACATTCAGTTGTTGTGTACTTTCCGGGCTGTCCTGCTATGTTCCAGAAGCATTCTCTCCTGAGGATTTGCCTGCATCTATGGCAGGCATCCTTAGAGGTTGTGAGGTCTGTTGGAAACTAGGAAAATGGGATTTATATATATATGTGGAATGTCCAGGGTGGGAGAAAGAACTCTTGTCTGTTTGAGGTAGGTGTGAATGTTACAAATGGCCATCTTGATTAGCATTTGATGGTCTAGTAGTTTTCAAAGTCTGGCTTCTTACTGCCCAGGGGAATCCTTTGTTGGGATGATTAGCCCAGGATTCCCCCAGGCAGACCTTATCTATTTATTTATTTACGATGTTTATACTCCCCTCCCTTTCTCAGCCATACAGCGACTCAAGGCGGGTTACAGATTGGCACAATTTGATGTCAGGCATTCATAAAAGTGTCATTTAAAACAATCAACATTACAATATAAAACATAAATAAAAACCGTTAAATCATTGGTGTCATCTTGTTAAAAACATCCAGTAACATCATCTGCCATTCCATGTTCATCATTCATAGTTCCATGTTATCTATTCCGCTGCATTCTCAAAAGCTTGCTGAAAGAGCCAGGTCTTTACTTTTTTTTCAGAAAGTCAGGAGGGAGGGGGCTGATCTAATATCCCTGGGGAGAGAGTTCCATAGCCGAGGAGCCACCTCTGAGAAGGCCCTGTCCTTCGTCTCTGCCAATCGCACTTGTGAGGCAGGCGGGACCGAGAGCAGGGCCTCCCCAGACGATACTAAGCTCCTAGATGGTTCATAGGAGTAGATACGTTCGGACATGTAACCTGGGCCGAAATCATTTAGGGCTTTATAGGCTAAATCCAGCACTTTGAATTGTGCTTGGTAGCAAATTGGCAGCCAGTGGAGCTGACGCAACAGAGATATAGTGTGTTCTCTGAGCGCTGCTCCTATTAGCTCCTATTAGTAACCTGGCTGCCACTCTTTGGACCATTTGAAGCTTCCAAACAGTCTTCAAAGGCAACCCCACGTAGAGTGCTATGCAGTAATCTATTCGGGATGTAACAAGAGCGTGGACCACCGTGGCCAAGTCAGACTTCCCAAGGTATGGGCGCAGCTGGCCTTGAAACTGCTAGGCCATTAAATGCTAATCAAGGTAGCCAATGGCTACATTCATACCTACCTCAAACAGACAAGAATTCATTCTCCCACCCTGGACATTCCACAGATATATAAACCCGATAGATGCAGGCAAAACGTCAGGAAAGAATGTCCCTGGAACATGGCTATGCAGCCTGGAAAACACACAACAACCCAGTTATTCCGGCCTTGAAAGCCTTCGACAATACAAATAACACATTACATAGTCCATATAAAACAAGCTTAATAAATACAACATATACCATTAAAATTCCCTGGACCTCAGGCCGCTGAGGTTATCCATAAACTCTGCTTTTTTAGGCTGTGTAAACATTGCCAAGAAAAATATATCCATCAGTGATGTTCCTTACCAATAGCTGCCTGGTCATTGCCTATTATAGGTTATCGGGAAAGGCTTGAGTCCACAGAAAAGTTTTAACTTGTGAAAGGGCAATAGAGAAGGGGCTAATTGCACCTTTTTTGGAAGGGAGTTCTAAAGCCACTGGGCCACCACTGAGAAGACCCTCTCTCTCGTTCCCACTAAGAGCATGTGACGGTGGTGGGACTGAGAGAAGGGCCTCTCCTGATGATCTCAGGGCTCATGTGGGCCTGTAGGAGGAGATGTGATGCCTCAAGTAGGCTGGGCCCAAACCATTTAGGGCTTTATAGCCTAAAGCCAGCACCTTGAATTGCACCCAGAAACAAACTGGGAGCAAGTGTAGTTGCTTCAGGAGTGAAGCAGTTCTTTCTCTATATCCCACTCCCATAAGAAGTCTAGTCACTGACCTTTGGACCAGTTGTAGTTTCCGAATGCTCTTCTGGAGCAATCCCATGTAGAGTGTGTTACAGTAATCTAATCTGGATGTAACTAAGGCATGTACTACCATGGCCAGATGAGGCTTTTCAAGGTATGGGCGCAGCTGGTGCACGAGTTTTAACTGTGGAAAAGCCCTCCTGGCCACCGCCGACACCTGGGCCTCCAGGGTCAGCGCTGAATCCAGGAGTACCCTCAGAGTACGAACCTGTGCCTTCAGGGGAGTGTGACCCCATCTAGCACAGGTTGAAGCCCAATAACCTGATCGACCCTGCGACTGACCAGAAGTACCACTGTCTTGCTTTGATTCAGCGCTTGGAACTATAGCCTGTTTGTGGAGGCCGGAGGCTATTTGTGTAAGTGGACACCTCTGCCACATACACATTTTTCACTTTTATTATGTATACGTTTATGTTTATAGATTATATAGTAATAATATATAATGATATATTACCTAAGATATTTTATAGTAATAAATTGTAATAATTGTATACATAATTCTATAAGATATATAGTAATACTGTATTGTAATGATATATTATGTATATGGTTATCTAATATATAGTAGTATGCAATCATATGTTTTATGTAGCAGTATTTAGTAATAATATAAGAATATATATATTCTATAGTATATAGAAATGCTATATAAAACAATATATTATCTGTATTGTTATCTAATATGTTATATCATATTAATATGTAATGATATATGTATTATGTAATATTATATAGTAATAACATGTAGTAATGATATGTTATATAATATATAATATAATATAATAATTACTATTATTATATACTAATTTGCCAATTCATGCAGTATTTTATGCAGTATTTTAAGGATGCATTTCGCCATTGATTTATGTAGCATTTTAATGATTCTAATGATTTCTATAGTTGTCAGGTTTCTGACAACAATCCATGAGGAAAAAGTCCAATAAAAGCTCCTCCTTTGGAGGCTTTTAAACAGAGGCTGGATGGTTATCTGTTGAAGGTGCTTTGATTGTGCTTTTCCTGTATGCGATTTTATGCTTCTATGATTTGTGGATGATGGGCCCTCTATTCTCTTCCAGCGAAAATATGGGGTGGTGCTGGACGAAATCAAGCCAAGCTCCTGCCCCGAACTCCAGGCTGTACGGATGTTTGCGGAATACCTCTCCAATGAGAGCAAAAGGTGAGGCTGGTGTTGAAGTGATGTCACTCTGCATTCCTTCCACTTCCTCTTTGGATTCTGGAAAGGTCAGAATAGATGTCCTCTTGTAGCCCAGCCTGTGTTGAACTGCTATTGTGTGTTTCCAAGAGTTGCCTCTATTCAAATAACAATATCTAGCTGTTTAAAAGAATCATAGTTCTCTTCCATTCTTTTTCAGTAGATTCACAGGGACCTCAAGGGGAACTCCAGTCCAAATCTTTTTTGACAGGCAGGAGGGCACCATCCAAGCCCTCCTGACAGATGGCCATCCAGCCATAGATAATGACATATATATGTGTGTATGTGTGTGTGTGAATGTGAATGTGAATGAATGATGGTTATACAGTTGGAAGAGGCCCCCAATGGCCCTCCAATCTAATTCTTATTCTGCCAGGGAGAAAAACATACTTTAAGCCCTCCTGACAGATGGCCATTCAGCCATAGATAATAACCATAGATATGATTGAGATATACTGTATATATGTATCTCTGATAGCTATATCATCAAATATACAATTGAAAGAGGTCCCCAAGGGCCATCCAGTCCAACGCCCTTGTGCCAGGCAGACACAATCAAATGCCCTCCTGACAGATGGACATTCAGCCATAGATCTGGTTGAGAGAGTTGGGTGAGACTCCAAGGGACATCCAATCCAACCCTTGTTCTGCCAGGCCGGAAGACACCATTGATCTCTCCTGACAGATGGCTATTCATCTGATTGAGAGATTTATCTGATAGGTAAATCAGAACCTTTAGAGTTGGAAATGACCCCCAGGGCTTTCCAGTCCAACTCCTTTTGCCAGACAGTAAGACATCATCAGATCCCTCCTGACAGATGGCCATCCCGCTTGAATGGGAAACCCTTTGATCTGTTTCTGCTTTGTGCAGTGTCAAATACCTTGAGACCATCTGACATTTGCCCTTGTGACCCTTGCCCTCTCAGGGATGCCATTGTAGCAGAGCTGGACAAGAAAATGGCCAAAAGCGTGGATGTCACCAACACGACTTTCCTGCTGATGGCGGCCTCTGTCTATTTCCATGATCAGAACCTGGACGCCGCGCTTCGGGCCTTGCACCAAGGAGAAACCCTTGAGTGGTGAGTACATTAACATGGGCATATATCCTTAATAATCAAAATAACAACAGCAACATTTCTGTTTATCTCAGGAACTCACTCCTTCAAGCCAATGTCCACGTGATAACCCCCCTCCCACAGTACAACTTCTGGAGGAAACATAACATGAAATTACACTGGAAGACTAGCAAATTCTTAGAAAAATCATGTTTCCCACAGAAATCATAATGCAGATACATTTTATTTGTTATGCATCTTGAGGTGGGGTACAGCGTAGTTAAAATACATAGACCACACAAAGGATAGATAGATTTGTTTATTGATTGATCCACTGACCATATCAACAATGAAAGACAACAATACATAAATCACTATCCTAAAGCTCTTGTAATAGTTAACTAAGATAAATTAAAACGCTATAAAAGTTTATTAAAATGGGATTGTTACAAGTTGAAAGCAGGGGGAGTAGATTGGCAAGGGACCATCAAATAGATACATTAAAAGACATAGATTAAAAATGAATATTAATAAAATGTAAAGATTATAATCTATATCTTATATACATATAAAAGTGAAAAATTTCAGTGCTTGACTCACACTTTTGTGATCAAAAATTCCTAGTTAATATTTATTATTTTTCCCCAACCTCCCCCCCCCCCAAAGTAATCAAATTTTGGCATACCAGATCCATTGGTGATGGTGTTCATAGTGCTGTCTGGATGTAGGTGAACTACAAGTCTCCCAAATCAAGGTTAATTTTCCCCAAAGACCTCCAGTATTTTTTGTTGGTCATGGGAGTTTATGTGTGCCAAGTTTGATCCAGGTCTATCGTTGCTGGAGTTCAGAGTTCTCATAGATTGCAGGTGAACTATACATCCCAGTAACTACAACTCCTGTAAATCATGGTGAATTCCTCCCAGTCCTCTCTAGTATGTTCAGTTGCTGATCAATACCTTTGTATTGAAAAGAATAGGAAAGGGTTAAGTGAGAGGCAGTGGATGGGGTCATGCAAATTCCACACCAATTGAGAGAGTAAGAAACACTGGGATGTCTGTGGTGCAGGAAACACATAAAATCTAGGATGAAATTGTCCTGGTATTAAAGCCTTGTTTGTGGAGGACATTGGCAGGGTTCTTGCCTGCAATATCATTGGAGGGAGGGATATTAGTGTCTCCTGAGTAGTGAGAGCAATAGTTTGAGGAGGATGGAGCATGTCTGTGTAAGTGGACATGATTTCCGTATTGAGAGCCAGTCTTTCCTCATCCCTTCTTTTTTTTCTCCTCCTTCCTTCCAGCATGGCGATGACCATCCAGGTCCTGCTGAAACTGGATCGTCTGGATCTGGCTAGGTAGGTGCCTCTATCCCTTTTGGTGCCTTCCTTCCCCATGAGTAGTACTTTCCTGAACTCATTCAGATCCTTTCCTTTTGGGAGGAAATAGCAACTTCTTTCAAACTTACAATGAAGATGTTTTGCTGTCCTTCCAGTGGCAGGCTAAACCTTTTACTCAGGCAGGCTTTTAAAGAGGGAAGTTTTTTTCAAAGATCGAATCAGGGGATGCTGTGGTTTTGGCTAGGAATGGGTCCTCAGGGTTTTAACTATTTTTATGTCCATTAATACTTAATTCTGTTTTGACTCGCATATGTTTTTTGGATTGTAAATTGCATTTGCATCCATTGTACTGGAAGACACTTTTTGAAGAGAAAAAGGTGGTATAAATTATAATAGAAATAAAAATATATTGTTATTATATATGTTATTATATCATATAATATAATATAATGAAACAATATATATTAAAATGAATTGAGAATACAGTTATAATGTACTGTATATACTTGAGTATAAGCCTAGTTTTTCAGTCCTTTTTTTGGGCTGAAAAAGTTTCCCCCAGCTTATACTCGAGTCAAGGTTATTTATTATTTTACTTTGTTGTTGTTGTTGTTATTATTACATTTATTATTTTATTATTGTTATTATGACATTTATTATTTTACTCTATTTATTATTGTTATTGTTACATTTATTATTTTACTGTATTGTTATTATGACATTTATTATTTTACTTTATTATTACTGTTATTATTACATTCCATTATTTTACTCTATTATTATTATTTTACTCTATTTATTATTATTGGAGGATATGTAAGCATATTTACATTGAAGAAGGTTAGAATAATGGTTTAATCAGAGTTGGACAGTCTTATCTTGAATTACAGTTTTATGTAAATATTCAAAAACATTTAACCTACTGATGCCTAAATTAATATAATTTTATTGGTATCTATTTTTATTTTGAAATTTACCAGTAGCTGCTGCATTTCCCACCCTCGGCTTATATTCGAGTCAATCCATTTTCCCAGTTTTTTGTGGTAAAATTAGGTGCCATTCTACCGCTTAATATGGGCCCAGTTGTTTGATTTTGTGTAAATTTACATGATGTGATTATGTCTGCTAGGATTGTTGGTTTGATTTTTTTGTATATTCTTATTTGGTATTAAGTTTACAATTAGGCTGTTTTATATTGTTTGATGTATCTCGTTTTGATGTAATTTGTTGATAGGTTTCTTTGTTGCCATTGAATGCTTGCCATATGTGTTGGAGGGTGGTGCAATGGGTTAAATCCTTGTGCCGGCTGAACTGCTGACCTGAAGGTCGGCGGTTCGAATCCATGAGATGGGGTGAGCTCCCGCCTGTCAGCCCCAGCTCCCCATGCGGGGACATGAGAGAAGCCTTCCACAGGATTGTAACACATCCGGGCGTCCCTGGGCAATGTCCTTGCAGACGGCTGATTTTCTCACACCAGAAGTGACTTGCTTCTGACATAATTTTAAAAAATGTGTTGGAAACCACCCTTGGGGAGATAGGGTTGTCTATAAATAAGGTATTATTGTTATTGTTATTATTATTATTATTTATGTCCGAAGCAACTTGAGAAACTGCATGTCGCTTCTGGTGTGAGAGAATGGGCCGTCTGCAAGGACATTGCCCAGGGGATGCCCAGATGATTGACATTTTCCCATCCTATGGGAGTCTTCTCTCTTGTCCCTGCATGAGAAGCTAGAGCTTGAAAGACAGAAGCTTACCCTTTTCCCCAATTCGAACTGCTGACCTGTTGGTTGACCAGTCCTGCTATCACAGGGTTTTAACCCATTGTGCCACAGAGGGCTCCTCCTCCTCCTCCTCCTTCTTATTGTTATGTATTTTTTAATTCATTATTTTATCATCATTTTCAAATTCCTCCCTTTCTTGCTCCATTTTTAGGAAGGAGCTAAAGAAGATGCAGGAACAAGATGAAGATGCCACCTTGACCCAGCTAGCTACTGCATGGGTCAACCTTGCTATGGTAAGTTATACAGTCTTGATGGCAAAAAAGGGGAAGCGGGACTGTTTGAATTCCCTTCCTTTGTGCCTTCATTGTGACCTTGCCTAAGGGGCATTGGGGGAGAAATGGTGACTGTTTTCTGTTTTAAACAAATCTCTTCCTGGCTGGAGACAGTTGGACTTGTAGGATCTGAAGCATTGGTTGTCTTCAGATTCCATCCCTGCCTTTTCTGCTCTCGCTTCCAGGGTGGAGAGAAGCTGCAGGACGCCTACTACATCTTCCAGGAGATGTCCGAGAAGTGGTCGCCCACTCTTTTGCTGTTGAACGGCCAAGCCGCCTGCTACATGGCCCAGGGCAAGTGGGATGAGGCCGAAGGGGTGCTCCAAGAAGCCCTGGACAAGGTGGGCTCCCGGCTCTAGGGGTCTGTGATTCTCTTGCCCTTTTCTCCATGAGGCTGGGTGGCCATCTGTTGGGAGAGCTTGGATTATGTCTGCCTGCCTGGCAGAAGGTGGGTTGGACTGGATGGCCTTTGGGTGCCCCTTATGAAGTAAAGATAAAATGGAGGTATCAATTCAAAACCTCAAGAAAAGAGATTCCACCTGTTGTTTTTTTGGGCAGTGGACTATGCTGCCTGGGAATCCATTGGAGTCTCTTCCTTTGGATGATTTGAAGACGAGGCTGCCTGGCCATCTGTCGCAAGTGCTTTGATTGTGGCTTCCCAGATGGCAAGGTTTTGAACTAGATGGAGTCTCTTCCAACTCTAGGAATCTCTGATTCTAAAGCACTATTTCTATATAAACCTGCTCATATCTATGAGGCTGGATGGCCATCTGTTGGGAGGGCATGGATGGTGCCTTCCTGGCTGGCAGAAGGAGGTTGAACTGGATGGCTTTTGGGAATCTATTATTCTTCAATTTCTACACGAACTTGCTGATGTCTATGAGGATGGATGGCCATATGTCAAAAGGGATTAGATTGTGTCTCCCCACCTGGCAGAAAGCCTTTAAGGTCTCTTCCATGAGCTGGCAAAGACATTGATTGATTTAGAAAGGCTTTTTGAATAGGAGCATTTTAAAGACAGGATTGTCAAGGTATTATTATATGTAATATATAATATGTAATAATGTATTACTATTATTATTATTATTATTATTATTATTATTATTATTATTATTATTTGAAACACCGCAAGATGAGTCCACAGCAGACATTCTGCCGGCTGTTGTATTGGATCACACGTCGGACACGTCGGACATAATATGTAATACATTATTACATATTATATATTACATATAATAATACCTTGACAATCCTGTCTTTAAAATGCTCCTATTCAAAAAGCCTTTCTAAATCAATCAATGTCTTTACCAGCTCATGGAAGAGACCTTAAAGGCTTTCTGCCAAGTGTCTAGGACTGTGTGATGCATCGGCGAATTATGCGTACAGATCCCAGTAAGGCGGCCTTTTGCAGCTGGCAGATGGTAATCTTGTCAGCTCCGATTGTGTTCAAGTGCAGGCCAAGGTCTTTAGGTACTGAACCCAGTGTACTGATCACCACTGGGACCACCTTGACTGGCTTGTACCAGAGTCTTTGCAGTTCAATCTTTAAATCCTCATATCGTATCATCTTTTCCAGTTGTTTCTCTTCAATCCTGCTGTCACCTGGGATTGCAACATCAACAATCCATAGTTTGTTTTTTAACACGATTGTGAGGTCAGGAGTATTATGCTCCAAAACTCTGTCTGTCTGAATCCAGAAGTCCCAGAGTAGCTTGACATGTTCATTTTTGATAAATTTTTGCGGCTTGTGATCCCACCAGTTCTTTGTCGCAGGCAGATGTTATTTGTGGCACAAGTTCCAATGAATCATCTGAGCAATGGTGTTTATTATTATTATTATTATTATTATTATTATTATTATTATTATTATTATTATTATTTCTCCCTTGGCTTCTCTTTCAGGACAGCAGCCACCCTGAGACCCTGATCAACTTTGTGGTTCTCTCCCAGCACCTGGGGAAACCCCCCGAGGTGAGTCCTGTTCTTGGCCATAGAACTGCCTTATTATAGATGGATAGATAGCTCCTTCCTCTAACTCCTTTTTGAGGTGGTTCTGACCCCCTTAAACCCCTTAATTCCTCCCTCCAGGTCACCAACCGCTACTTGTCACAACTGAAAGATGCCCATCGAAACCACCCCTTCGTCAAGGAGTACCAGGCCAAGGTAAGGGAGCCTTCTCTTCCCCTTTCCCTCCCAATTTGGGGACCCAAAACTAAGGCCACTCATCGGGACAATTGATAGAATATGATATGTATTTGATTGAAATGCCGGAATCAGCAAACAGTCCATGGAAGGGAATATGCAACAAGCAAAGCATGTACAAACCAACATGCACAAATACTTTGACTTTTATATTATACTAGCTTGAGTTCATAATGCACTCTGGAAGTAAGTGAACTACAAGTCCTACAAATCCCTCCAAAGACCTTTGGCCATGGGGGTTCTGTGTGCCAAGTTAGTTCCAGATCCATGGTTAGTGGTGTTCAACTTGGAGTTCAGACTTAGCCATGGTGATCCATGCTTTTGTTACATCCAGGATAGACTACTGCAATGCGCTCTACATGGGGTTGCCTTTGAAGACTATTCGGAATCTTCAAATAGTCCAAGAGACAGCCAGGCTAATAACTGGGATGGCATAAAGGGAGTGCACAGCTCCCATGTTGTGTCAGTTCCACTGGTTCTCAGTTCGCTATGAGCACAATTAAAAGTGCTTGCTTTGGCCTATAAAGCCCTAAATGGCCCTGGCCCAGTTTACCTGTCCAAACTCATCTCTCTCTATGAAGCACCGCGGAGATCTCCCAGGGAAGTGCTGCTCTTGGTCCCGTCACCGTCATAGATTCGATTGGCAGGGACGAGAGAGAGGGCCTTCTCAGTGATTGCCCCTCGGCTATGGAACTCCCTCCCTGGTGAGATTGGATCAGACCCCTCCCTCCTGTCCTTCAGAAAGATGGTAAAAACTTAGCTGTGGGACCAAGCCTTTGCGGTAGTGCAGTAAGGCAACAATAGGAAACTCTACCCTGCTGACCAGATCCAATATGGGTGATTTGAGGTGGTTTTAAACAATTGATTTTAAAGTGGATATAACTGATTTTAGTGTTTGTGTATATTTATAGTTTCTTTTATGTTTTGTCATTGAATGTTTGCCGTATATATGTTGAGTCCCCTTCGGGGTGAGAAAGGCAGAATATAAATGCTTTAAATAAGTAAATAATAAGTAAATAAGTTCAGAGTGCTCTTAGATTGCAGGTAAACTATTCATCCCAATACCCACAACTCCTATAAATCATGGTGAATTTATAGAATTATGGTGCTCTCCAAACCAAAATGTCCAGTTGCTGATCAGTGGGCGGGGTCATACAAATTCCACAACCATGGAGAGAGTAAGGAACACTGGGATGTTTGTGGTGGAGGAAACACATAAAATCAAGGATAAAACTGTCCCTGTATGAAAGCTGTCACTTGGGTGGTGGGCAGTATTGTGGTGATGAAGGACATTGGCAGGGCTCTTATACATGTTCATGATGCTCATTGTAACCTGCAATGTCATTGGAGGGAGGGTCATTGGTGTCTCCTGAGCAGTGGGAACTATAGTTGTTTGTGAAGGCAGGAACTTTTCTGTGTAGGTGGACACTTCAGCCACATACACACATGCAGTACAGATTTTCACTTTTATTATGTGTATAGATTGATATATGTTGTATTGTTCTATTATATCACATATCATGTAATATGATATATTAATATATGTTATATTATTTTATTATATGTTATATTATTTTATTATATGTAAATATTATAATATATGTGTCTTTTATTCTTTCCAAGGAGAATGACTTTGACCGCCTGGCATTGCAATACGCTCCTTGTGCCTGAGCCCCAAGGAGCACCAAAAAGGAAAGAACCTTTCTCTGCTGCATATGGATCTCCCTTTTTGCTGTGGACGATCGGATATGACGTCTTGGAAGAAGACGGCGTGGGATTCCCCCTTTCCTGCCTGCCGGCCATACCTCCAGTGTATATTTTTGCCTTTCAGTTAACACAAACACAAGGGGAAGGCGATTCCCAGCCCTGAAATATTCCTAATAAAATCATCCCTTCAGGTTTACCTCTGTGGCTGTTTGGTTGACCCTGTCTTCTCCAAAATACTTGGAGATTTGCAATATTTATACATACATATATACACACACACATATATATATAGATAGATAGATAGATAGATATCTTGGAGATGGGGCCCAAGCACATGTTGCGAAGGACACTCAAAACACAATATTCACCATCATTCTGTGCTTTGGGATGTATGTGCGTCTTGAAGCAACAGAAAGCAAAGGGGTTACTCTTTTAGCTATTTCCTTTGTAATAATACTAATACCTAATTCTTTTTGCCAGAGTTTCCAGTAATAATAATAATAATAATAATAATAATAATAATAATAATACATTCATTTTAGCCAAGGTTTCCAATAATAACAACAACACCACACTCCTTTTAGCCAAGTTTCCATAATAATAATAATAACGATAATAATAATAATAGTAATAGTAATAATAATAATAATAATAATGGGTTGCAGTGAGTTTTCTGGGCTGTCTGGCCATGTTCCCGAAGCATTCTCTCCTGACGTTTTACTCACATCTATGGCAGGCATCCTCAGAGGTTGTGAGGTCTGTTGGAAGCTAGGCAAGTGGGGTTTATATACCTGTGGAATAATGTCCAGGGTGGGAGAAAGAACTCTTGTCTGTTGGAGGCAAGTTTGAATGTTGCATTCAACCTTGATCAACATTGAATAGCCTTGCAGCTTCAAAGCCTGGCTGCTTCCTGCTTGGGGGATCCTTTGTTGGGAGGTGTTAGCTGGCCCTGATTGTTTCATGTCTGGATTTCCCCTGTTTTTTGAGTGTTGTTTTTAATTTACTGTCCTGATTTTAGAGTTTATAAATACTGGTAGGTAGATTGTGCTAATTTTCATGGTTTCCTCCTTTCTGATGAAATTGTCCACATGTTTGTGGATTTCAATGGCTTCTCTGTAGTTTTACATGGTGGTAGTTGTCAGAGTGGTCCAGCATTTCTATGCTCTCTGATAATATTCCAAGGTTGGTTCATCAGGTGCTCTGCTAAGGGTGACTTCTCTGGTTGGATCTGTCTGCAGTGCCTTTCATGTTCCTTGATTCGTGTCTGGGCAATGCTGCTGCATTTGGTGGTCGCTGTGTGGACGTGTCCACTACTGCATGGTATACGGCAGACTCCTGCAGAGGTGAGAGGATCCGTCTTGTCCTTTGCTGAACGGAGCATTGGTTGGATTTTCTTAGTGGATCTGTAGATGGTTTGTAAGTTGTGTTTCTTCATCTGCGTCCGTATGCAGTCAGTGGTTCCCTTGATGTATGGCAAGAACACTTTTCCTCTGGGTGGATCTTTGTCTTTACCTACATAAAAACTCCAACCATCACCCAAGTCAAAAACAAAGCACTATTAAAGCCCTGGCAGACCGTGCAAAAAGAATCTTCAAAGCCCATTTCCTCCAAGGTGAAGTGAACCACCTAAACCGGGCCCTACAGGCCAATAGAGACTCCACCACAGACATCAGAAAAGCTGATGCCTTGGTCACCTCCAGATTGGACTACTGTAATGTGCTCTATGTTGGGCTGCCCTTGAAAACGGCCCGGAAATTCCAACTGGTCCAATGGGCGGCGGCCAGGTTGTTAACTGGTGCTCCTTACAGGAAGAGGTCAACCCTCCTGTTTAAGGAGCTCCATTGGCTGCCACTCATTTCAAGGTGCAGGTGCTCACCTACAAAGCCCTAAATGGTTTGGTACCCGCCTACCTGCGTGACCGCATCTCTGTATACGAACCCACACAATCTCTTCGATCATCTGGAGAGGCCCTGCGTCGCAAGCGCGATTGGTGGGGACGAGGGACAGGGCCTTCTCTGTGGTGGCCCCCTGACTCTGGAACTCTCTCCCCAAGGACATCAGACAAGCCCCAACATTGGCAGTCTTTAGGAAGAGCTTGAAGACGTGGTTGTTCCAGTGTGCCTTCCCAGAATAGGAAACTCCTAGCATCATGTCCCAAATGCACTTTACTAGAGATTTAAGATTGTCTACATACCGCACCTATCTCCCAAAACTTATTCATTTCACCTGGTCATGGCCAGCATTTTTTAAAAAATTTAATCATTACATTTGGCCCGGCCTTAGTTTTAAATGCGTCGTGTTATTGTCTAATGTTTATTGCTATTGTTTTAATGTCTATTGCTTTGTTTTATGAGTTTATTTATTGTTGTATTTGTTATGCTGTTGTTTTATTGATGTGTTGGGCCTCGACCTTTTGTAAGCCGCACCGAGTCCTTCGGGAGATGTTAGCGAGGTATAAATAAAGGTTATTATTATTATTACTATTATTATTATTATTATTATTATTATTATTAGCTGCAAGATCAAGAACAAGCCACGAGAGTAAAGACAAAGAGCAATAATAATAGTAGTAATAATAATAATAATAATACCACTTGCACTCCTTATAGCCACACTTTCGTTTTTAATAATAATAATAATACATAACTCTTTTAGACAGGGTTTCCTTTAATGCTAATAATAATAATAATGCTAATAATAATAATAATATAATCACATTCCTTTTTAGCCAATGTTTCAATAATAATAATAATAATAATAGGAAAAAAATTGAGAGCAAAATTGACAAGGAAAAAACATGGATGTGGCTCACAAATAGAACTTTCAAGAAGGAGATGGAGAGCCTGGTTCTTGCAGCCCAAGAACAAGCCATTAAAACCAATGCCTTCAAAGCCAGAATTGAAAAGTTGACGACAAATTCCGACTGTAGACTCTGCAAGGAAGCAGGCGAAACGATGGATCGCATCCTCAGCTGCTGTAAGAAGATCGCCCAGTTGGACTACTAGCATAGGCATAACACCGTTGCTCAGATGATTCATTGGAACTTATGCCACAAATACTATCTGCCTGTGACAAATAACTGATGGGATCACAAGCCGGAAAAAAGTTACAGAAAATGAACACGTCAAACTCCTCTGGAACTTCCAAATTCAGACTGACAGTGTTTTGTAGCATAAGACTCCGGACCGCACAATCATGGAAACAAACAAAAGATGGATCGTCAATGTTGCAATCCCAGGCAACAGCAGGATTGACGAGAAGCAACTGGAAAAGCTGACACAATACGAAGATTTAAAGATCAAACTGCAAAGACTCTGGCACAAGCCAGTCAAGAGGGTCCCAGTGGTGATCGGCAGATTGGGTGCAGTGCCTAAAGACCTTGGCCTGCACTTAAAAACAATCAGCACTGACAAAATTACCATCTGTCAGCTGCAAAAGGCCACCCTCCTCAGATCTGCACACATTATTCACTGATACATCACACAGTCCTAGACACTTGGGAAGTGTCCGACATGTGATCCAATACAACAACCAGCATAGTGATCTTGTTTACTGTGTATGAATCCTGATGTGTATCAAATAATAATAATATCTAACTCTTTTAGCCAGGTTTTTTTTAAAAGACGATGATGAGGATGGTGATAATGATACTAATACCTCATTTGTTTTAGCCAGGGTTTCCATAATAATAATAATAATAATTCTTATTATTATTATCATCATCATCATCATCATCCACATTCCTTTTAGCCAAGGTTTCCTTTATAATAATAAACTTTATAATAATAATAATAATAATAATAATCTTCATTTATACCATCATCTCCCCTATGGGGACTCAGGGCGGCTTACATGAGGCCAAGACCATACAACAAATTACAATAAAATAAGATACAAGTTACAATAAAATAAACAATATCGCAGAAAAATACAGAACATATGACTACAATAAACAAAAAAAATCTCATCCCAAAGGGAACCCAGGGCAGAACACAGAACACCTATATGGCAAACATTCAGTGCCGTTATACACTGACAGGACAGACAACTCTACCTAGATAGAGGTATATAGGCTTTCCCATCTTTGGCGTCTTGGAGGTTGTGCTCGATTCCAGCCATGGGGGAGTGCTGTTGCTCCATCCTCCATGTCACAGAGCCCTGTTCACAGACTTTCTTCTTTTTTGATCGAATCGCCGTCATTTTCTGGTATTTCCTTATGGTGCCATTAAAATACTTTCCTGCTTAAGTGGTACCTGTTTATCTACTCGCAGCTGTTTTCGGTCTGCTAGGTGGGCAGTGAGCTGGGCTGAAGGTTGGGCGTTCACCCTCAACCCGGGCTTCAAACTGTCAGCCTTTGATTGGCAAGATTTATTGCAGCTGTGCTTAACCTGCTGTGCTAAAGGGACCCTAACTCTTTTAGCCAGGGTCTCCTTTAAGAATAGTAATGATGGTAATAATAATGGGTGGCCATCTGGCGGGAGGGTTTAGATGGAGTCTTTTTTTATTATTTAGGATATTAAAAAAATTACCAGCCAAGGAGAGGGCAGGCCAAGCGTCATTGTGGAAAGACGCCACAAAAGGCAGAATGCCTTTGTGCCCCCCCCCCCCCTTGCCTTGTTTTTCTGAATGGGGCCTTTGTGGCCTTTGCAGTGCCTCCTTGGCAGATCCCTTGGGCAGCAATGAAGGGCCCCTTTGTCCATTCAGCAAAGGCCCCTTTGATTTTATCGCCTTTTATTACGTCCCCTGTGTTGGGACAGCCGCTATTCATCCTTTTTGCAGCAGTTCTGTCGCCTATCCATCCACCCCTCTGAAAAGAATGAACAGAGAGAGTTGTAGTTCTCCCATTCTGTAGCCTATGGAGTTGCCTCCTTTCTCCATGGTTGAATGGGCCTCTGTCAGGAAGGATCAAATGGTGCCTTTTGACCTGGAATGAAGGGCTTAGACTGGATGGCTCTTGGGGTCTCCCCCACCTCGAGGATTCTATCAATCTATCTATTTCTCTCCATTAATCTATCTTAGGGAGTTGACTAGATGACCTTTGGGAGTCCCTTCTGACTCTAGGCTTCTATATCCATCCACATCAATATCTATCTATATTCTATCTACATATCCTCTCCATCCATATACATAATCTGTCCATCCATTGGTAGCTATATATTCTATCCATCTATAACAGTGGTCCTCAACTTATTCTAT